GGCCGTGTAAATTACATAAGCGGCCCAGATGTGATGTGAAAGGTCACCCGCTATTAGTTTGTTTACACAGATGAAAGTGTCAGTGTATTAATTGGAACAATTTACGTCTTTAATCCACAGACTTGGAGTAATGCTTAATTACACGTGTGCTCAACTGGTGTTTAGCTATGAAAGATCGTCCAAGATGTAACAAGTAGAGATTTTGATGCTAAAGCATCAAGTCGCCGGATAGAAATATGATTGTATTATCATAAATAAAAGAAAATATCAGTTTAATAGAGTGTATAAAGAAAAGAGGAACAATAATAAATTAAGTTGAGTAATGTTTATTCATAAACACGTTTTCATTTACTTGCCACAATTATATCTTTCTTGATGAGAGTTTTATGCAAAAATTTTATCTTATGTTATAATAAAACATCATATTTGAATCAAACTTGCTTAGCAATTTTGTCAAGAAACTGTTATCATTATTAAATAAGCAAGTATTGTTTGGCAATATTTACCCGAGACTCAATAATTTTCGGGAGCTGTTTCGTTTGTTTACATAACTTATTATGATTAATGTAAACGATTTTATTATAAGTATAATTACATATATAATTATATCAATTAATACTGCTCGATGGCCTAGTGGTAAGTATCACGAAGTTGTAACCTACATGTAGTAGGCGCAAGTTCGAATCTCGGAATTGATTTTTATTATATCTTTTAACTTTATGAAACATAATAAGCATATAAGTTGATAAATCGTGTGTTTCATTTCTAGCACTTTTTTATTTCATAATTTTGATAAACGGTCAAGTTTTGCAAAATACAAAAAGTATTATAAAAGAAAACATAAAAAAATCACTTTATTGAACCTACAGTCTTCAATTTGAAACTAACTTAAAATCTAACACCTTGTCATCGAGGCTTGTAAAGCAATTGATATGATTATAATTCTACTTGTAATTCTACTTTATACATATACACCGTTGTACGTATGGTTTTCTTCAGCATCCGATAATTACCGACAAATTATTACCGATCATCGAATATTTGCAAAGTGGCTATGAAAATATATATGCTTAATTGTTGCATAAAACAATGCAATTCTACTGTAAAAGTGGTGTCTGCATCTTATGCAATATCGAAAAAATATATTATTTAGCTCAAATCAATATTCCTGTCGTTATTCAAGTTTTCAAGTTTTATTAAATATATCTCAGTATGTAATATACATAGACATGAGAACAAATTCTAATAATACACGTAATCACAGTGTATTATTGTTTGGTTTTATTAACCTGTCAATTACATACTGATTACACGGTCGATGCACACAGTATATTAATCTTCGGTAGATGTTCGGTAAGTTCCGTGATATTTACGCTGTACGATGGAATTTAATTTAATTTGTATCTCTAAAATAAGTTTTCTCAGCGTTATAGCGCAATGGGGTAAGTCACGAGTTTATAATCTAAGTGCCAAACGTGTTTTAAGTTCGAGGCCGCGTTGGTCCATGTTTTTTCTTATTAATACTTTAACATTATTGAATCTATAATTATATGATTAATATATGTTGTTCGTTTTTTTATGTTTTACTTAATTTTGTTATGTATATACTCTTTTTAAATAACATGTTTTTTAAGAATTCATATTTAAAATTAAAACGGATTAAAATCAATAAATGTCTTTTCAATGCCGTAAAACACACTACAAATCTGTTCCATTAAAATACACTGCAAAAATAAAGAAAGAGTACTAAAACAATGGCAACAGTGAGGATCGAACCACAGACCTCTCATTTATCAGGCATTCTCTTTACCGACTGTCCTATTATATATGTGAACAAGGTTAGCTTTTAAAAAAGCTAGTAGCGACTCGCTTCGTAATATTTTCAAGGGGTGTGTTTAAATGTAAAAATGACAGTTCTGTTAGCTGAAGAGACTTCAGCGAACATCAAAATAAAAGTGAAGTCAACACTGGCCCGGTGCCCGATGGCCAGTGTATATAAGTTCAGGCCAGTGTAAATTTAAGAAAATTTTGTTAATTATTTAGTAGAATAAATTCAAAACTGGAATTCGGGCCAGTAAATTCAAAATCTTAAACTCATTGACTGAAAGTGACATATAAAGTTCTCTCAGTTTAACCAAGATGAGTATGAGTATATAAGAAGGTGCATGTAAACAGATAGAATGAAGAACCTATGTCTATGCACATTTACTATATGGCCTGTTGACCTTGACCACAAAGTGTTAGATAGGTCGATTTCATAAAGATGTCTCTTTATACAAAATTAAGTTGTAATACATGTATGTTATTTAGTATTGGAATGAGAGGCACAAGTCCTAAAGTAAACACAAGTTGTCAATCAATTCAGCCAGAAAAGCCGGGATCCTATTAAAAAATATAGGGATCCCGGAAATTGACCAGTCTAAGAAGATGTTTTTCAGATAAGCCGGGATCCTATTAAAACATATAGGGATCCCGGGAATTGACCAGTTAAAGAATATAGTTTTCAGAAAAAGCCGGGATCGTATCAAAATGTAAATAGATCTCACGGATTGGCCAGTTCAAGGATATAGTTTTCAGAAAAGCTGGGATCGTTTTAAAACATATAGGGATCCCGGGATTTGGCCAATTCAAGAAAATAGTCTTTGATTTTTCCAATTAATTAGGCATATAATTATAAGTATTGTGATTTTCGCATTTTAAGTTTGTTAATAAATAGCTCTAAATATATCTATATTCTAAGTTAAATTAATTTAACGTTCATTATATACAATAAAAAAAAACGTTAAATGGCCTTTTATTACGACAACAATCAACACAAATATAGTTCATTAGGTTTTTCCTCCATATCTTATACGATCCCGGATCCCGAGCGTCCCGGATCCCGGCTAGTAAATACATACACTAAATACCGGAAAGGATAAAATGACCGGAAAAAAAAATGCACAGAACCAGATGTACACTTATGTTAATTAACCAAACGAAAACTTACTACAGATAAAACAGGTGAAATCGCTAAATCAGAAGTCAGTGTAAATATGATTTATTGAAAAGAATTCATTAAGACAAACATTTTAATCATCATTATATCTTTGCGCTCAAAACAATACTTGCTGGTTTTTAAAAATGGCGTGAAAATTGAAGGTTTTTTGACGCTATGTAAGATTAATTTTGATTGGCTAAATAATTTTGGATCCTAGCCCTGATAGATAAATTTTGTAGAAAGCTGGAAGCCAAGCTTCGATTAAATTTTTGGATGGCTTCGGAGTTTTAGGTTGTTTCTCAGTAAAATCCTACCGTAATACCGGCTCGCCGTGGCGAGCCGGCATTAACGAAAACCTTCACATAAAGTTGGCGTGACTTTCAATCCATGACTTATATACTCCACATTAATTCTCGTAAACTACACGGACCAAACCGAAGTGGGATCGATTATTTAAATGAGTCCTATAATGTATTTATAATTGACAGGTTAATAAAATCAGACTATACATACGATAAAGTTAATGTTTAATTGCCTTTCAGTGCGATAAACTATCAACAAAAAGTAGGTTTATTAGTTTTCTCTGTGTATCCAATACGATTCCGACCCCTACTGTCATACCGAGATTTTTCATACAAAATTACTTTGATTTGCACTTTATCAGCTTTATCATTCACATGTTACCTGTATGTCTATCTTGCCAGCCATTTGTTACTATTAATAGATTTCATAACAATAACATACAACGTGTAGTCACGTGATTCTGGGAGAAACTGTTTATAATAAATAAGATAAAAAATAGAATAGGTCTCATAAGATACAAACAACCAGATAATTTAAAAGTGTCATTTCAAATATCATGCATGATTTATTTATCATAAAATAGCAACGCTTGACACTTTAAAAAAAGTAAAAGCATCCCTAAATTCAATGACTGGTCCATAGGGATACGTCATTAATTCATTTTATAAATATTGTAATGTTGCTTTTTACGATGTCGGTATTTGAATATTTCATTTCATTTAGCAACATTATTGTATGTTTGAATTTTTGAGATTACTGAAAACAATAGAAGTCTTTAATTGTTCAGTAATTGTTATGCTTTTATTTACAGAAATTAATGCCTTCTCCTACCATAGGTATAATATTAAACTGTTACAAATATAGTCGCCGGTTTCTACCGGCGACTAATAAACAATACTGTGAAGGTACCAAAATGATTGAACAATTAATCTGTCAACTTCACTAAATTACCGATATATATAATTCTGTTTACATATGCCAGACTTTTGCTGAAATTTACCCTCTCATTTTGCTAGTATATAGTCTGTATGAAATTAAAGTTTAAATAGCAAAATCCATTGAATGTGGGTATCACAATAAATGAATATTTATGTTTACATTTTGATTGTGGTGAAAAAAGATAACTTCACTTCGTTGATAATACAATTTTCTTTTTGTACACAAATTTTTTGACTGCTGACACTTATCAAATGACTCAAAATGCTATACCAATCAGGGTTTTTTCGGTCCAGTAAAACTCAGAAGTCTTTCGCATAGACTGGAAGTATTACATTAATAGAAAATAGAAGGGAAACAATCGGGACCGAAAAAATTGTTCGGTTTTTAGAAGTTTCCGGATTTCAGAAGTTCCGGAATTCGGAAGTTACACTGTATATGATTTGATGTTACATATAGAGCATTCTATTCATCTGTCACACAAGAACAACTCTCTTTAGCTATCTGTTACTTAGTAAAGGTCTCCCATTACTGAGGGACCCTATTATGGGCAGGAGATTTTTCATTTTAAATCCAGTAAATCACTTTACCCGTTACCATGTTATTTTTTTTTAAGGCTCTTGAAGCAACTGCTAATGTTGTTCAACAGCTAGATGTTAACAATTAACAAAAAACATCTTTGACATGTTCCAGTAGGAAAAGTAGTGTTAATGCTTCACAGCCTGCATTTAAGCTACTAGCAGCTGTAATAGGCAACTTTACATCATTAACAAATAATTACCTGAGGTGCTGGGTAGATGGCAAATTCCAGTTTTGATTTCTTTCCATAATCTACAGACAGCCTTTCCATGAGGAGTGATGCAAAACCAGACCCAGTCCCTCCACCAAAACTGTGAAAGATCAGGAATCCCTGCAGACCTGTGCACTGGTCAGCCTAAGACAGAAGCAAATCAATTGAAATGTTATCCCTGCTAAATAAATTTAAGTGACAAAATCCATAACAATAATGCATTTATTACATACTTTTCAGGGGCTAATTGCCACTCATGATTGTGAATGGGTCCTATACAAGAAAAATCGCTAGAATAAATTTGTCTTTTATGTAACAGCTCCTTCTTTGTGCAGTGTTTTTTTTCTTTATATAACTACTACCCTAAAATGGTACTGTTCCCAATAGAAAAAAGACATTAAAATTCCCAATTTCCAATGTTTAAATTTCCCAAAATGGCTGTTCAAAATGCCCACAAGGCCAAGTGATTTTTTCTAAAATCATTTAAATCAAACATATTTATATAAATTACCACTCAAACGTTCTGGACAGTAGAATCTGTACACTGTTGTGTAATAAAATACACTTAAAAAAGAGAAATATGCAAGTCAACAGAACAAAAGTGAATACCAGTTTTCTTATGCGGTCAAGAACAAGATCAACTATCTCTTTTCCAATGGTGTAATGTCCTCTAGCATAATTATTAGCTGCATCTTCTTTACCTGTGATTAGTTGTTCTGGATGGAATAATTGTCGGTATGTTCCAGTACGAACCTCATCTGCAAAATTTTTTAACAAAAGGTACTGCCAAATAACCAGTAACTTCATTGAACTATAAAATGTGTAACTTTTATCATTCAGTGTAAGAAATTAGGATTTGAATCAACTAGGCTGGTCGGACTACCAGATTGGAATATTCACAAGCCCAAAAGACATTTGACTAGCACAATTCATTTGTTCATATTGCCTCTGAAAATACAGAAGCCTGGTCGGGCTTGTTGCTGTGAAAAGTTGGTAGCCCGCGGAGAAATTTAGTAGTCAGGGGCTATAGGACTACTGCTAATTTCGAACACTGCTCATTATGTTAGAAAAAAAAAACGTCTGCAATGTAAACCAAATGACAATGTTATAATAATCATTGTAAGAATGTTTACCAACAACTGTAGGTTCTAAGTCCACAAAAACTGCCCTTGGAACATGTTTTCCAGCTCCAGTCTCGCTGAAAAAAGTGTTAAAGGAGTCGTCTCCACCTCCAATTGTCTTATCACTGGGCATCTGACCATCAGGTTGGATGCCATGCTCAAGGCAGTACAACTCCCAGCAAGCATTACCTATTTGGACACCAGCTTGACCAACATGTATCGATATGCACTCACGCTGAAACAAATATTTCACAATTAAGGCTTCGATTTGTGTTTGAGACCATGGAAATAATAAGGTCTTAATTGTACTAAATCAAAAACTATTAAATTTGATTCATCAATTTAATTTATTTTTATTAGACAATTTATTTATTGGATAATTAGTTTCAATTATTGATATAATAAATCATGAGTGCATTAATTTTGTTTGTCTTGGAAGAAGTGTGCACATGTTAAACCATTAATGGCATACGTTTGTAAATGGTTAAAAACTGATGATGAATCAGACTGGTTTATTTATACTTAAATAAGATTTATTTTACAAATAAATGAATAATTTTTATTTGGATAAAAACTTGACCCTCCATTCAGCAGCCACCTGTCTTAAGCAGCCAAAATGACTGCATCCCTTGGCTGGCTACTTAAGACAGTTTTGACATTATTAATAGTTTTGGGTCGGTAAAATGTTTTTTACTACCATTTTTCAGTCTGAAATTCACAGTTGTCCTATTGCCCGAGACAACCATTTTTTGGTATGGGCAACCAATTTTTAAAAGTTTACTTGCCCGATGGGGGACAAGTAAAAATTTGCAGAAAGTATTCATCAAAATGTCAATGAATAGTGATAAAATGCAAGATATCAAATACAATTAGTTTGCTTACATTTATGACTGTTTCTCACTGAAGATAAGTTTGCAGATTTGATCAATAATTGCTTGGAGATGTTCTGATGAAAATATTCGGGCAACCAATTTTTACTTCGACAACCAGATTTTCTTGAATTGGTTGCCAGAATACAGGCCTTTTTCCCTCTATCCCATTGGTCCGAATATAGGCCCCATTTCCCCATCTAAATTATGGTTTTTTCCCCAATCCAAACATTTTTTTTCCCAATCTAGAAGTCGGCAAGTGAAAGACAAGAGCACCGCTAGGCGGAGCATTATATGCCCGAAAGTGTTTTTTTTTTTTTAGTAAGGATGAAGCATTTGTAAGACATGGGAATTAGCTGTTCATCCTATAAAATTTTACAGATGTAGGTTGTTGATTAATACTTAAGTTATTAATAATGACCTTAACCTTTGACCTTGTGACCCCAAAATCGATAGGGGTCTTCTACCTTATATGGACAATCATCCAATGAAGTTTGAATATTGATGGCCAAATGGAACTTCAGTTATGCTTCGGAAACTGTTTTCAGTATTAAGGTAATAGTGACCTTGACCTTTGACCATGTGACCCCAAAATCAATAGGGGTCTTCTACCCAATATGGACAATCATCCTATAAAGTTTGAATATTGTGGGCCAAATGGAACTTAAGTTATGCTCCGGAAACTGTTTTCAGTCAGGGCCAAAACACCATTTTTTTGGAAGGGGCCTCAGCCTTTTTCTTGGGGAAAATATGTGTGATTTTTGCATACTTTGGGAAAAGGGGTCTCAAATTTAACACAAAATTTTAACAAGTTCTTCAAAATAGAAAAGCAAAAAGCACTGGGAAATCAGGGCCTTTTCACTAGTTTTGGGGAAGGTGCCCTTGCCGTTTTTGTGGGGAAAAAATGCGCGGTTTTCATACTTTTGGGGAAAAAAATCATATTTTCCACTGGCAGTTTAACCATTATTACTATAAATAAAGACTTATTTAAATCACACATTTGGGGGAAATATCATAATATATTTGCATATTTTCCTCAAAACAGCTTTCTGCCCAACATAACTAATTATTAAAGGGATTTTTTTACAGATCAATTTATTGCCACTTTATATTTGCCCAAGAATACATTGACTCATCTTTCCTAATTATAGAAAATTTACGTAGGACATGTGAGGGTGCTTGATTTGATTCAGAGGGAACATTATTATCAGTTCCCACCGTATCACTATTACTGGAACTGTTGTGCTAGACTCGCTATTTCCCACACTTGGGCATGTTGTGCTACTCGGACACATGAACTTGCGAGTGGATACATGTATTGGATTCTCTTGGACTTACAGGAAGGTCAACAATTTGTCCAATTTTTCATAAACAATTACAAATGTCACTCAATCGTCTGGTTCTGTGACATTGTTTACATTTGCGACATCGTAAATCGGTCGCCGTATTGTCGTAAAAAAATCACGTGTGCAGCGGGGTTTTCCCATGTTGCTTTCAGCCCGAGGCTGTGAGTAAACATCAATTGTATTGAATCAAGGTATCCCTCTAGCGGGTAATTGAATAATTAGCTTTCATTGGACAAAAACAATGATCTTTTTTTATGCAAGAAAGTTTGTTTACAAGTTTTTTTCTTTGATCTGAAAGGGAAAATCTTCGCAAGTAGGGGAATTTTAGACTGTTTTTTTTGGAAAAAAGGTAGTATGTTGGCTTGGGGAAGTAGCCGAATACCGGCTTCAGCAAAGAAGGGTAAAAAGGCCCTGGAAATACTAATAAGGCAGTAAAAGACCTTAATTCAACACCATCATTTAATTTTGTCCAAACTTCTATGGGAAATTTCAAAAGACTGGGAAATTTTGAGGACCAAAGTGGGGAAAAAAGAGAGGCTATTTTGGTTGGGGAAGCAGCCTATATTCGGCCTCTACAAAGAAGGTTTTTTTTGGCCCTGTCAGCAGTGTTAGAAATTAGGATTTGAATCCACTAGGCTGGTGGGACTACCAGATTGGAATATTCACTAGCCCAAAAGACATTTCACTAGCACGATTCATTTGTTCAAAACAGTTGTTTATATTGCCTCTGAAAATACAGTAGACTGGTTGGGCTTGTTACTGTGAAAAGTTGGTAGCCCGAGGAGAAATGTAGTAGTCAGGGGCTATAGGACTACTGCTAATTTCGAACACTGTCAGTATCAAGGTAATAGTGACCTTGACCTTTGACCTTGTGACCCCAAAATCAATAGCGGTCTTCTACCCAATATGGACAATCATCCTATGAAGTTTGAACATTGTGGGTCAAATGGAACTTAAGTTATGCTCCGGAAACTGTTTTCAGTATCAAGGTAATAGTTACCTTGACCTTTGACCTTGTGACCCCAAAATAAAAAGGGGTCTTTTACCCAATATGGACAATCATCCTATGAAGTTTGAATATTGTGGGCCAAATGGAACTTAAGTTATGCTCCGGAAACTGTTTTCAGTACCAACGTAATAGTGACCTTTGACCTAGTGACCCCAAAATAAATAGGGGTCTTCTACCCAATATGGACAATCATCCTATGAAGTTTGAATATTGTGGGCCAAATGGAACTTAAGTTATGCTCCGGAAACTGTTTTCAGTACCAAGGTAATAGTGACCTTTGACCTAGTGACCCCAAAATAAATAGGGGTCTTCTACCCAATATGGACAATCATCCTATGAAGTTTGAATATTGTGGGCCAAATGGAACTTAAGTTATGCTTCGGAAACTGTTTTCAGTATAAAGGTAATAGTGACCTTGACCTTTGACCTTGTGACCCCAAAATCAATAGGGGTCTTCTGCCCAATCATCCTATGAAGTTTGAACATTATGGGTCAAATGGAACTTAAGTTATGCTCCGGAAACCAAATTGCTAACGGATGGTTTTCAGTATCAAGGTAATAGTGACCTTGACCTTTTGACCCCAAAATCAATAGGGGTCTTCTACCAAATATGGACAATCGTCCTATGAAGTTTGAACATTGTTGGCCAAATGGAACTTAAGTTAAGCTCCGGAAACCAAATTGCTAACGGACAGAAACTGTTTTCAGTTTTAAAGTAATAGTGACCTTTGACCCTAAAATCAATAGGGGTCTTCTACCCAATATGGACAATCATCCTATGAAGTTTGAACATTGTGGGCCAAATAGAACTTAAGTTATGCTCCGGAAACCAAATTGCTAACGGACATAAACTGTTTTCAGTTTTAAGGTAATAATGACCTTGACCTTTGAACCCAAAATCAATAGGGGTCTTCTACCCAATATGGACAAAAATCCTATGAAGTTTGAACATTGTGGGCCCAATAGAACTTAAGTTATGCTCCGGAAACCAAATTGCTAACGGACGGAATTCGTTTTCAGTTTTAAGGTAATAGTGACCTTGACCTTTGATCCCAAAATCAATAGGGGTCTTCTACCCAATATGGACAATCATCCAATGAAGTTTGAATATTGTGTGTCAAATGGAACTTAAGTTATGCTCCGGAAACTGTTTTTAGTATCAAGGAAAAAGTGACCTTGACCTTTTGACCCCAAAATCAATAGGGGTTTTCTACCCAATATGGACAATCATCCTATGAAGTTTGAACATTGTGGGCCAAATGGAACTTGAGTTATGCTCCGGAAACCAAATTGCTAACGGACGGACGGACACCAGGGGGTATAACATAATATGCCCTTTGGGGCATATAAAAAAGTACCGCATTTTCAATTTTGGTGTCACGAAATAGCGTTATGGAATATATTCATGCTTTATGAATAAAAACAGGATTTTTTTTACATTTGTACACATTTTAGCCTGTCCTTGTATTTTTGATAAGACAGAAAAAGCTGAACAGTTTAAGTAAGATTTATTTTAACAATTGTAACAACTTGAATGCTAGCATATTTTCCCAAATTTGCAAATTTTACGAGTGGTGTTTTCCCAAAATAGAGGGGAAGTTTCGACTCCAAACCAAATCGGCCCCTAGACGTTTTGGCCCTATTTTTACTACATTCAAAAAATAATTTTTATACTTAAAATTGTTAAAAAATGTAGTATATTGATTGATGATGGCACACAAACAATTAAGACACTTTAATCCTTAATTAATAATCCATTCAGTAATTTTTTGCCGAATAAAGGCCGTTTCCCCTAGCCCAAATTAGATATATTTTCCCCTAAAATGCCTTGTGCTCTTCCTAACCAGAACCATGACTTAACAGCATCCGACTTATATCATCTAGAAGACAGAAATATGTTCCTATGTATAGCCACTGCTATGTACCATACATGTTAAATTGAATTGATATTAATTTTTTACATAAAATGTGTGGGTAAATTCCATTTTCTGTTATTGGAATTTGATTTCAGGTTTTTCCCCTTTTTTGATTTATCGCGCTATATTTTCCTTCAGAAAGCCACAGGTTGTTTTGAAAATTGGAAAAAAAAAATCACTGCCATTATGCCTTATTCTCATCGTTTCGTGCCTTCTCATCGATTCATGACCTAAATAATTGTCTGGTATAAAAACTTCTGCAAGGACATACACCATCCGAAAACTACACAGGTTTTATTAGACACTCGATTTGACAATTCTATCCAATCAAAATGCGTAATTGAACAGGTGTAAATGAGCTAACCCTTCAATCAGCTGATGACCTAATTACTTTAAAATATTCGATATTGATGTTTTAATTTATCAAACACACTTACAATTAAGCCAAAAAAATATTCATTATGCTGTAAGAATTTACTTAAGACTTTGAAACATATATTGATCAGATCGGACTGAAAATAAACATGCGAACATTTAGTGGTGTGAGCACCTATATTTTGACGACGTCACAGGGTGAATCTGATTTCATGAATCGATGGGTAAGCGTCCAGCTGAGCAAGACAGTCATGGTTGACATGTTCAGATTCTGTAATCTTTGAGCGGTTGTTTTTAAAAGTAATTTAATGTTTTTGAACTTTTAGATAATGAATTTATTTAACAAATGCACTTATTGAACTGTATGTATGTCTGATATTTGTTGTGCAATTTTTCCAAATAAGAGTCAAGAATCGACGAGAGAAAAGCATATCTATCGATCTCTTAATTTAAATATTTAGATAAATGCTATTTTTTTCAAGGTGTAGCAATAAATAAATTAATTAAATTAATTTTTTAACTTATGATTTGTTATAATTCCTTGTTAATATTTTGAATTATTATTATAACGTTCACATTGAAAATCTGTCACTTTTATTTGTTTTGATCTACTACTTTAGCCTCATTTTATTACAAAATTATATCCTGAAATATTCGGTTCTCGATAATGTAACAATAAAATGCAAAAACAACAAATGGAAAAAAGACTCACCTTTATTCTAAATACATCATTGAATCCATAAATATATTCTCTTTAAGTTTTTTAATTGTTAACAATCAATGAAATAACGAATAAAAAATATTTTCAAAAAATATAACAACTGTCAAAAAAGGATTTCCAAAATGGCGTCTTGAATTCTCGATAACTCGAGATAAATCTCAAAACGAGGCTGTATTAAGTATGGTGGCCCAGTGTTGACATGCTATAAACAACAGTTGCAGTAGAACACTGTATTCTTTCTCACAACACGGACTGGAGAGCAGTATTTAAGGTGAACCCAATGGGAACAAGTAGCATTATCACACTGTGCCCAGTGGGTGAATTCTATTGCACCATGGGAATGTTTGTCTACATAATATTGATGACATTGGCAACACTTATCTTGATCAGGTATTTCTGATTCATTTTCACTATCAGAGAGGTCTGATTTTTCAGAAAGTTCAATGTTTTGTTTGGATGGACCTGGCTTTTGTTTATCATTTATTTGAAGATTGAAGCTGGTGGCTGAATTCTTTTTGTTCTTAGGAGTTTTAGTTTTTTTCTTTTTAGGATCATTTGAACTAATTTTACTGTTACTTTCATCAATGTATTTTTTCATTTTTACTACAGTTTCACCTTCCAATGCTTTTCCACCAACAATACTATTAATGCTTTTACGTTTTTTCTTCATGATTTTTATATGTACATCACCACCTTTTTTATCAAAAAAGTTATTTTCTGCTGTTTCAGATTTTTTGTGATCTCCTGATGCTGTCACTTCATCATCAACTATGTAAAGTTCAGATGGTTTGATTTTACTTTTTAAAAGTTCAACCATAGAGGACGAGTTCTTGAATGGATAAATGCCTGCCTTATTGAAAGAAGCTTGTAAATTTAAAGGACTTAGAGCAAATGAGTACGCCTTGCAAGCAAGTGAGCAGACATCATAACGAGTGACAACTCTGTGATGTGTTCTAGCAAATTTAAAACATTCTTGAGCGTATTTCAGTTGCAGGGGACCAAAACATCCAATGTCCATAGGCTGGAGGATATGAGAGGTGTGTGGTGGCAAGACAAACAGAACAATATTTTGCTGTTTAGCCCATTCAACAAGATCTACTGATATGTGACTACGATGACCATCATACAGTATAAGAATTGTGTCATCTGATTCTTCCCTGGCAAAACTTCATAAAATGATTTTGCAAATAATCTTTAAAAACAACACTATTTGACCAACCACTTGGTGTCATGATACCATCAGCACCTGGACTTTTTCCTTCCAAGAGACCATCTAACATTCGGACACCAGGGAAAACAAAATATGGAGGGATTTGCATTCCAGCTGCATTGCCAGCCCCTATTATAGTGACAGTTTTACCACGCTCAGACATGATAACTTGTGCCTTACAATCTTTTCCACTAACAACACTAGGGGGTTTATATTCAGTATTTATTCCCTTTTCATCAATGTTATAGATAAGGTGCGGTTTGTCAAATAAATCATATTTACGTAAAATTCTTTCAAGTTCATTAAAGTATTTAGTGACAGATTCTTCACTGGCACATTTAGCACGTTGTTCAGACAGACTTGAAGGACGGACAACATTAAGTTCTGGCCACCTTTTTATGAAGTTATAAAACCAATTAAGAGTGAATGGCTGATCATCTTTCCTCTTGCCTAAAGAAACAGCATAATCAGAGGCTAAATTGACTACTTCAGCCCTCGTGTAACCATATCCAACAGAAGCAAGATCTTTTAAGTGTTCACACAATTTAGCTTCTTCATCTAAAGAAAGCACAGGGCAGGGTCCTGATTTGACACAATCAATTGATATTCTATTATCAACCCGGTCTCTCAAAGTAGTAAGAGGAACTCCATTTAGCTTTGCAGCTCTATATACTGGAATTCCTTCATCTTTCACCATTTTATAAGCTGATGTCATAGCAGTTGGTGACCATAGCCGTAGTCTTGACCTATCTGCAGGTTGAGTAAGCTGAAATGAACCAGAATAAACAATCTTTTAATGCATATTTTGGCTTATTTTGAATACCACATATATTAAACATGAATAAATAACAAAATGTGTTCATTTCCTTTATTAGATGGTCTTAACATCAACTTAGATTCAATACAGATTATGTCCAGTCTGTATTTAACTATTGCAATTAATAAGATCTATGGCCCTGATTTGCTTCCGTATTTTATTTTTTTGACAGGTGCTAGTGACGTATCACTTGGTCTATTTTTAGAACTAATGTTGATTTGCTTGCGTCATCCATCGGCTGCTGTCAGAGGCTTGCAGATAAATTAAAATGGAGGATTGTATAAAACAGAAAAAAAGCATTAGTGAAAACTGTATAAAATTGATGATTTGTAAATAAAAGAGTAAGTTTACCTTTATCCTGAACATTTTTACTGTGAAAACAGTTTTTATTGAAGCAGCTGAATACACAGTGTTGACTTGGAGGTTTCCTTGTCAAATGACGTCAAACTCGTGAAAAAAACACGCGATTATTTATTCTATCGGGAATTCCATTATATCGAGAACTGAATATCTGAGGATAATTTAATCATTCAATTAATTCTCTCATTCCTTTTATTCATTCATTTATTGAAATGGTATAAAACACGTAAAGGTAATAATTTTCTTAACAAAATATAGTGCCGATTTAGTAAAGGGCCGAAACGTCTTGGGTAATTTGAGACCGATACGTCTTGGGGCCGAAATGACTCGAAATCCAGCCTATATTCGGTCTCTACAAAGAAGGGATTTTTGGCCTTGCCATCTCATTCTAGAGTGCAATTTAACTAAAATACCAAAGAATTTTATTCTTTTCTACTTTTCTTAAAGTCTTGTCTTATATATTTTTTTAATAAAGAACGTGTACGCTGAAAACTCCATTCACATTTCGGACTGGCCCATTTAATCTTTTTCATCTATTTCCCGCCTCTGAACTATTCAAAACTTTAATCTAAATGATAAAACAAGAAACACATAGCTTATAAATGAAAAAAAGACATTTTGTAAAAATGATTTAAAAAGCAATACCATTTTGTAACTTGTGTCGATTTCAAGGGATCTTTCACAACAGTTCAAAGAAAAAGAACGCGTTCCCTTTTTATATTAACTGCAGCCTGAACACGCGGGTCCACTGGATACGCTCTTGCACGTCATTGCTTTTTTTTTTAAAATAAATTTGCCTGTTAAGAAATAGTTTTGTGTTTTAAAATACTTTTAATCATTACTTTGCTTTCTATTTGAAAAAAAAATAATGACAAACTTGCTTTTGTACATACTCACGGAAATGTCCGAAAATATCATCGGCTCATCCCGCGAAAATGACGTCATTTCGATTGCAGCGACCCCATGTACACAGAGAAAACAAAATCTTCGTACCCTTTCTGGGCATAGTAATAAATCAACAATGTTTGTTTGTCATCCGTAAGTTTTGACTTATCGTCAATGAAAACAATTAAATAGAATTGAATTTAGATTGTTGCTCTGTTCCGAAGAAATATCCCCGTCATATTTAAGCCGTCTAATTTTAGTGGGTGGGGTAGTATGCTAATTGATTTATCTCAAACTTAGTTTAAGTTTTCCTTAACTATATGACTAATCCATTGATATCATTTCAAACTAACATGCTCTATAATATATTTCGAGTATTTTGTTTATGTGGGTGTCAGTGGTAGAAATAAGAGAGAGAAAAAACGTAAAGTCAAAATATCAGAACTGTCAGACTCAGATATGTCTCTGTCAAATAGAATAAGATCTACGCCTTCTCATCCATTCATGACTTCCCTTACATTGTGACTTAATAAATGTCTGGTATTAACACTGGTGCACTGACATGTTGTCCCATTGAATATAAGACAAGTTTTAGTCAACTCTCGATTCAACAATTTTATTCCACGGAAATGAATAATTAAACTGGTCTGGTGTAAAGCTGCTAAATCTATACAATCTATTTGATGATAAATTTTTATAATTTTGAATGTTAGTATAATTTTGAATGTTACATAATAAATTTGTCAAACACACAGTCTTGCTTAAGGTCTTCAGCATACCTATTTTTATACTGTGACAGAACAGGTAGGCTGAAGGCAATGGAAGGCTGGCATCCTTGTATTCTCTTGAGTGACAGATAGGGTGAACTGTGAGACCAGGTTGTAGATGATTCCTTTTGATACATTGAAAACTGGTTTTCTTGGCGCCAATTCGATTCTGATGCCAACTGTCAGAATTTTTTTCCAGGACTTTGGGCACATGACCCATACCCATGGAATTGGGAATTTCAGGCGTGTTTTGTTAAAAATTGGGTAAAAATGCATGACTGAACTTTTGCTGTGATTAAATGAATGCAAACAATCTAGGATGGCATCTTAATTTAATGAATGCAAACAATCACTGTCTTATATATATATATATATATATATATATATATAAGCAAAAACGCTATTTAAATTTATATACGGCAAGTTAGAGATTTTACTTATATATATATATATATATATATATATATATATATATATATATATATATATATATATATAAATAAAACAAAAAACACAGTCCATGAGTTAACTTATTTAATTATTTGCCAACCGGTTTCTCTTATGATCATCAGGGCAAACCGGTAAATCATAAGAGAAACCGGTTGGCAAATAATTAAATAAGTTAACTCATGGACTGTGTTTTTTGTTTTATTTATATGTGACTTTTTTCCGGCACTTGTTTTTATTTTTTGTATATATATATATATATATATATATATATATATATATATATATATATATATGTACATGTTTGTACTCTTAAGTGGTTCCAAAATTCACTTGAATTATGTCACACAGTTCTCAAGAAGTTGAGTCATAACTGGTAGTTGTAAATAATGTATTGAAGTGAAATAGGCAATCTTAATGAGTGCATTTATAATTTGATACTTTAAATGGTATAGTTTGATGTTAAAATAATTGTCTTGTCGAAAATTGAAAAAGAATTAATGATGAAAAGATGATTTGCGCATTAAAACAAGATGCATGTTATTTGTTATAGTTTCATAGTGTGTGTGATCCAAAACTTTTATGCCACAACATATTGAAAAAAAATATTTAAAAAACCCAAACTACTAACAGTCTAGCAAATTATGTTATTGTTTAGTTATATGAGTAAAATTTACTCAAAAAATAAAAAAAAACATATTGTCAGATGGAAAATAACCAAACTAACATTTAATTGTTTGGATATCTATATCTTGATGATGTCTTATGGTGAATTGGATTTCACAAATCAAATCAATGAGAAAGCATCCAGTTAAGAGAGAGAGAGTCATCGATGACCTGTTTAGATGTGCTGTTCTTATATTATGTTTGTTAACCAATTACTGCATGAGCATTTTGTGAAAAATGGCTGTTTTCATTGAAAAGTCTCCCTTTACAAGTTCAAATTGCTATAAAACTGTAAAAAACTTCTTCAATACTAATCAAACTTGGCACAAATGTTGACTGGACCATTGCCTTTGTAACAACATGCTCGGTCTTAAATTTCCTGTTACCATGGCTATGAAGGACATCTCAAAATTGCCAAAATCACTATTTTGCGTTGATTTTTTCCATCAATATTGATATCAAAGTGCTGAAACTTCTCAATGGATAAGGCTGTTGGTTACAAGTTACCTTATGATCGACCTGGGGTCAATTTTAGCCTCTCACTAGTCCAAATTTTCTTGGCGAAGAAACAGAAACAGAGATTTGATTGTCCAACCAAATATTGTCCATAACACTAAATAATTAAGATGTGTCACGAAAAAAAACTCGGGTTTTGAATTTTGTTGCATCATAAATTGTCAGGGATTTTTTGTTTAAATTGGGAATGGGTCCGGGTTTGGTCCAATAGGGGAAAAAATGCTTTGTGTGATGCCAAATTTTGGATTTTTAAAAAAAGTTAACACAGTATATTTTTTTATTTATTTTTCTTTAGATTTCAGATAAATGTCACTAGTTTTTTGGGTTTTTTTGTTTTGTTTTTTAAATGTCTCAATAATGTTTGAGATTTGAGTGTCAGACATAAGATACTGCCCTTCTGCGCAAAGAAGCATTAAAGATGTAAGAGTTTCCTATGAGTATGACAGGCGATGTTTAAATCCTAAACAAAAAAAACATCAATACAACTTTAGTAAGTAATCAATCCTCGAAAAATACTCCATTAAAATTTAGATGGCGTGGATGGAACATGTTACCATAGTAACAATAAGATAATCAAGCACATCTTCCACTGAATTGATTTTCACGACTTTTGTCCAGTCATGAGTCACAGTAGTAAATATTATGTGAAAAAATTTCAAAAACAAGTCAATGCCATATTTGCTCATGTGAATCATGACGGGACAATGTTAAGTCTACTAAAGCTGATATAGTTGGGATTTTTTTATATATTTTCAATGTTATATATTATTGATATTATATACTCATGTCATCTTCACAAAATTTTCCCACATTCCATTCATTTCAGACTGTATTAACTGTCTACAATAATTAGACTGATAGCATTGTTTTAAAAAAAGACAAACTCTTATGTAAATATATATATTATAATATATGTAACATGACTCATGTGGTGAAAATTCAAGATAGTTAAATAACATAAATAAAGAACATAAATAAATAACCATCTTGATAATTGTCATATAGAAAATTGCTAAGATTGTTGAAATTGTCTTGTACTTGGTGGCATGATATCTTTATGAACTTAACAGGAAGATAAATGAATGATTCTCGTTAACAACTAAATTTTAATTGCTTGACCTTGGTAACCAAGCCTATATTTTGTATAAGTAGTTGCTATGTGGAATATTGTGGTTTTCGCAAGTTCATATAAAACGTGAAAATATTAGCCAGTGAAAATTTAATTTACCCAAGTCCCTATTTCTTTTGGTAACCAGACTGATATTGGAGACATAATTTTCAACACATTACATTAATAATTATCCTTATTAACTTGTGGTTATTGATATACCTGACTGACATCACCTGTGTCCGACTATAAATGGGCATTCAAACATTACTCTGTACAATTAAATTGAGGTGCAGTTTGATAGTTACATTTACTTTCGTATCAACAAAGAGATAATTATTGTCATTATCTTTCAAATTCAAGATCGTTTAGCAAACAGTGAGAAAAGAATTCAGTTTTCACAACATATGTATTGTAAAATCAGCAGTTACACTTCTTCATCAAATATGAATATATTGCGTGAATAAGTGAGGATTTTTTTTAAGAAAATATTTGGGATTCAAACATTTCCATATACACACGAAATGTTATGAAAATTCCAGAAATTGTGATTTCACTATAATATCCGCTTTTAGTAGAAATTCTGAATTACCAAGCATAATGTTTAAACCATAAGAGCTGTGGCTGGTATATTGGATTCTGTTGGTCAGACATGTGTTATTATATATAATTTTGCATTTTGTCATATGGACTACCAAAAGTCTACAATATTGTGGAGATGAAATCATCTGTTTTGATTTATTTTTTCAGTGGGAAAATGGTGATCATAGCTGGATAGGTCAAAGATGGAAGATGCTGTAAGTAGAAGTTCCCTGGACTCATCATCAACAGGGGATGAATATGTGCTTGTCAATGCTGACCCCAAGTTAAGAATTACAGGTGACATCAATGATCTAAACAGTGAAATCTGTTCCGAGAACCAGTCTAGATTCAAACAATCTGTCAATAAAAGTATGAATGACAGTCTCGTTGATAAAGAGATTGGTCATGTGATGCCAAGTAGCCAATCAGTTGATGTGTTAAATACAAATGGATCAGCAAGTAATGGTAGGTATTTCAGAGAGAAAATAAAATTCCTTTTGTTTGAAATCAGACTGTTTGTAGTCAGTTAGTAATATCATGAAAATACCTTTGAAATTTCATGTAAACAGGGTATTAAAAACTATCTGATTTGTATGATTTGATAATTTGAGCATGGTAAAACCATGTTTTTAAAATTTTTGTTTACTAAATTTTAGTCAGTGGCCGAGTGGTTAAGGTTGTTGACTTCAAACAACTTGCCTCTCACCGCTGTGAGTTCGAATCCTGTCAGGGACTTTGGATTCTTTCATGTGAGGAAGCTATCCAGCTGGCTTACAGAACGTCGGTGGTTCTACTCAGGTGCCCGTTCGTGCCTGAAATAATGCACGGAAGGGCACCTGAGGTCTTCCTCCACCAGTAAAGCTGGAACATCACCATATGACCTATACTGTGTCGTCGTGACGTAAAATCCAATTAAACAAATTAAACAATACTAAATTTTATCTGCTTTGAACTTTGTATGTCTGTAGTAATTATATCACATGAAAATTAACTATCATTGCCTTGGGCAATTATAAATGGAAATTATATCTTATTATTTACTGTTTTGAAAACTAAAATATTTGAATAAGTCAATAGTGTCAACAAACTTTGTTTATGCAGAGGCTGAGCCAGGGGCAGCAGGGTCTGTTTCTCTTCCAACAACTCCAACTGGTGATTGTATAGTATTTCATGGAGTTACTTACTTGGGTTGTGCTACAGTTAATGCTCCACGAAGTGAGGTGGAAATATATCGCAATATGGCTGTCCTGAATGAGCAGTCACAAGGAGACATTCCAATAGTTCTCTCTGTACCTGCCACAGCAGATGGCACTGTAAGGTGCGTAAAACTTACCTATACTATAGTCGCTTACAAAATAAACATCTCAGAATCAACTCCCATTTTCATTGTTTATTTTAGTTAGAAATTTATGTTAGCTGGCATTGTCAATGTAAAATTTAAAAAGATCTAGAAAAATGCACATTTAAATAACATGCCCTGTGGCTAATTTGAGTGCGAGTAAGCTTTTTTTGTCGGTCACAAAGGCTCATCTAGGGAATTTTCGAAAAAATCTGCTTCATAAATGAAAGATGATGATCATGGTTATGGTCAAACTTGCCCAGTCATAGGGGTCACTGGATTTTGCCAAGGCTCATAAATACAGGAAAGACTTTGAAAATTTTGTCTGGTAATGAGCTTAATAAATATTTGCTATGTAGCATTGTCAAGTACAGTCAAAACTGCTCATTGGGCAGATTAATTAAAGCAGCACCTGCCTAAGTACACACCTCTGAACACCCTGAATAGAAATTACTTTAGTACATGTATTAACTTAGTATCTAAGAAGGCCACCTGCATCAGTGAGGTCAGTCACCCCCAATTTCAGTTCCAAGTAGTCAAAAACAACAAAAAAGACATCCAGATACTGTATAGTGATGGTTGCCACTATTTTGTATTTGTACCATTTATGGACATTACAAATCATTTAATATTTCTGTTTTTTTTTCTGCTATGAATGTGTTATTAATGAGTTATGTAAGGCTTCCTTTTTGTTATCCCCCGCCGAAAATTTTCGGCGGAGGATATAGAAATAGTCTCCGACCTTCCGTCCTTCCGTCTGTCCGTCCTTCCGTCCGACATTTTTGTCCGGAGCATATCTCTAAAAGTATTTGAGTTATCAACTTGAAACTTCATAGGTGGATAGACCTCATTGAGGAGGAGTGCAGTGCACAAGAATGATAACTCTACCTTGCATGAGTTTTGAGTTATTGCCCTTTGTTATTTTTCAAAATTGATTTTTGTCCAGAGCATAACTCCAGAAGCCTATGAGATATTAACATGAAACTTCATAGGTGCATAGATCTCACTCAGGAGGTGTGCAGTGCACAAGAATGATAACTCTACCTTTCATAATTTTTGAGTTATTGCCCTTTGTTATTTTTCATACCTAATTTTTCACCTGAGTGGAGCATAACTCAAAAAAGTGTTTGAGATATCAACATGAAATGTCATAGGTGGATAGATCTTATTGAGGCGGAATGTTGTGCGCAAGAATGATAACTCTTTCCTATACATTTTTTGAGTTATTGCCCTTTGTTTTTTTATGCTATTTTGTCCAGAGCTTATCTCAAAAAGTATTTGAGGTATCAACTTGAAACTTCAAAGGTGGATGGATCTCATTGAGGAGGAGTGCAGTGCTTAAGAATGATAACTCTACCCTGCATTATTGAGTTATTGCCCTTTGTTATTTTTCAAAATTAATTTTTGTCCAGAGCATAAATCAAAAAGCCTTTGAGATATCAAAATGAAACTTCATAGGTGCATAGATCTCACTCAGGAGGTGTGCACTGCACAAGAATGATAACTCTACCTTTTATAATTTTTGAGTTATTGCCCTTTGTTATTTTTCATACTTAATTTTTCAATTCAATTTTTTTCTCAAAAAGTATTTGAGGTATCAATTTGAAACTTCATAGGTGGATAGATTTTACTGAGGAGGAATGCAGCACACAAAAATGATAACCTACTCTGCATTATTTTTCAGTAATTGCCCTTTGTTATTTTCAGCCATCAGTATTCACATAGGTTTCAAATCTGTAATCACTATAGCCATCAGTTTTCATTACCAAAAGACCTCTTAAAATGTAGTTATTCTGCTCTACTACATATACATTCTTCCAATGAGCCAACACATTCGGCGGGGGATGGCCATGTTGACATGGCTCTTGTTTCAATGTTAATAATGACTTGTGTACAGGGAACTGAGTCATCTATTACCGATATGCTTGCAGTTTATCAAATTTAAACAAAAGTTTATTCCACATTTAGCATTGCCATCTACATGTAGTTAATACATTCCTGTTGTAAAAGGATCCGATTAAGTTGGTTATTTTAACTTCAATATGCATGCTTTACTAGGCTTGTATCCTGTTATTGTAATTCTTAGTAACATTCTTTAAATAAATGACCATAGTATCGTAATAATATCTTGCTTGACACTGCTCACTTTTGTGGGCTTTGTGTCATCATAAGAAAAGACACCAAATTCAATTTCACTCAATACCTGAGGTAAATTACAGTACAAAACCAAGAAGCTTCAGTCCAGTTACTTGTTTCTTATAGGATATCAGTTCCATGATTTCGCTTGTTCGATTTGATAAAAACTTGCACACCACCTGTATCACCATTAGTTCTAGAGTGGTATAGTTTTAGCTCCTTAGAGCATGATCTCTGGGTGAGCTATTGTGATCATGCATGTCTGTGGTATATAAGAGCAACCAGAAAACTTGATAAAATTGTTCCTTAGGTGAACTTCTTTGACCAGGTTTTCAATTTTGAAAATCCTAGTTATAAGAATGGCAAATGACTGGCATATGAGCTGGCGTCTCATAGGTGATTTTCCAGAGTTAGGAACAAGATATTGTAATCAAATTTGGTATAAAGTAAGTTTATATGGAAACCTCACTTGGGACAGATTGTTTAGGGCCACCTAGGTCAAGGTCACTGTGACTAAAAAAATGGTTTCAGGATTGAAAACCTTTATGTCATTGCAATGGTTCTTGTTTCAAAAAAGTTATTTTAAGAATCCCTTTCCTACATTAGTATTCCACTTTCCCCGTAATGATTTTCATATCTTGATAGATACAATAGATATTTGGTTTGTTTTTACCTGGTATAGACCACTTCTCTTGAAAGGAGTTTGAAGTTGAATGGCTCAAGGTCACTGAAGCTGATTAAATTTTCATCTGTCTTAAATTGATTGACAATATTTTTTCTTGATATTTGTTTTGTTTTAATTTTGTCCATCTTTGCCAAATTAGCATGAGTAAGCACCCAATTGGTGTCACTGATATTTTAGTTTTCACACTTGTCTATGAAACATTTTAAATTGAATATAACATACTGTCTTGATGAATGCATGTCTATTGATTGTGGTATAAACCTACATATCATGAGATACTTTCTTGTGAGTCAGACATAAATTTGTGTGGGTAGGATTTGGTGTGGTTAAACAATCATGACTTGGCATGAAATGTCAGACATCAGGTGTTCTCAGTGGTATAATGGCTAAGATTGCTGACTTTCAATCACAGTCTCTTACTGCTGTATTTTTATCTTGTTCACCAGAACAGTACATCTTTGGTTAATGATTTCTTTGAGAAGGTGATTTTCTGTCATCTGGAATTAATAGAAATGTTCTCCTGTGAAAATTTTGGTTAGATTTGCTATAAAATTCTGATAAGATTTTCAGAATAAATTACGCCATGTTGTTTTATTTTTCATTTATTCATGAATGAATCACATTTTAAAGTCTTTATTTTATTGCATGCATGTAGAGTCTCATTCTCACAACAACTGAAGGTATCTACTCAAATCATTATTGTAGGTAATCATCAAAGACCCATAACTGTTAACATCAATTTTGAATGAAATATTCCACTTTGAGAATTCATACATTTTATTATCCAGGTGCGTGTTTTACTGTCAATCACGGTATTTTACCACTGACTTGTTAACATCTTTGGAACTGTCTATCTACAATTGGCTCATTTAACGTTACATTAGTTGGTTACTTTTAGCATTGATCAGAGCTGAGAAAAGAAATACTTAGAAGTATTTTCTTTTCATACATCAATAAATAACCAAATTTGGCCTGTGGCATTGCATGATAGTCAGATATCATATTGTGCTGTCCCAAAAGTAGTTAAACCTTTAAACAACTTCTGATGTACCAATGGATCATTTATACAGTACTGAACTTGATCTGATAGGTACAAATAAATATGAAAGACCCCTTTTAGTTGTTAATATTTTGCTAGGTTTATTTTTTTAACAACATTATAAAATATTTCCTCACCTTTTAAGTTTTAGCAGGTATATTATGATGTTGATGATTTATTTAAATCGTCTCTTGTCCCTTTATTGAGACATATTTGAAATTCAACTGGTAAGAAAATGATATTGGAGACTGTTTAGTTTAGTTAATAGGCATTTCTTTGAACTGTTGTCAGAATGTGATATATATTTTTGCTTGCAGTCAATCCGAAGGATTTGTTAGGTGTGTATTTTATTTTTATTTTCTTTACCCAGCAAGTTTCAGTTGTAGTTTCTGTTTGCATTGATTTTCAGATACACATACACTCTATTAATAAATTTGTGTTATAAATTGTTAAAATTTATTCACCTGTATCTTCTGTAAACTTCCTGCAATAAATTATTACTCATTTTACAAATGGAAATTTTTCCTGATATCTAAATATGATCGGTTTGAAATGAATTATTGTGGAAAGGATACAGAAGAAAAGACTTGATTTTCTAAATATTAATCAGAGCAAATTGTTACATTTACAGTATTTGCCAGCTTACATGTAGCATAATATTATGTTATTTGAACAAATATACAAAAACCATTGATTTGTGATTAGTGAGTTAAAAGCTGTTTTGCATACTAATATAAAAGGTTATTATTCCAGAAGTATACACACTAAAAAAATGGTTATATTCATTGATACATTTTCTAGCTCAACTGTTTAAAGAATAGGGAGATTCTAATGATAGGGTCACCAAGGCATTGGTGTCCATGTCACTTTGGTTAAGTTTTTCTGTGCACATTGGTATCTCAAAAAAATCTTGAGGGAATGGGTTGAAACTTTGCACACTTATTTTAGGGCACAATAGGGGTTTACATTCCAAGGCCTGAACTCTAACATAGATTTTGACAGAATTATGGCTTTAATTTCTATATTATCTGGGTTCTTGTTTTACTATCAAGCACTGAGAATAGTCAAGTGTTCTGTCCTACCAACAGCTCTTGTTTAAATTCTTTACTTTGATGCAGACAGGAAAACATGTGAGACGATATTAATGCTGGAGCATTTTATTTTAATTTTCTTTGTCATTCCCATATAAAAGCCATTAATATATTACAATAAAGAAATCCCCCCCACACACACACAAACACATGATTATGATGTTGATTGAAAAATTACAAAATATACCATTTATTCACAGAAGTTCCAAGATCAAAATACCTTTTTACTTTGTTTGTTTTTCAAAAAGAAATGGGTACTTGTTTATTTTGGAATAGTGATAGACTAAAGCATTTTTATAAGAAATTAAAAATTGCACACTTTATGCCATCTATTACACCTATGTATTTTCACATTCCATGTATTCATTCTCTCTAGGCATTGACTTATACACTGTATAATGGGTACTCTAGTTATAGCCACACCCTACCTCAGCAAGGATTACTCCTTTAATTGTTCGAATAGGATGCCCTGGAACCCACTTACTTTCTATTTTAAGGGTCCCATAGACTGGTGACCCAGTTGTCAAAGACCACTTTTAGTTGCAAATAAAAACTTCATTTATGTACCTTTCAACATTAGACAGTTAAACAATCAAATTTTCATAATAATTTATGCCTATTAACTATAAAAACAGTATTTTTAACTGGTTTAATTGAAGCATGAGAAACTGTATGCACGTAAAAGTGACACCAGACTATAACTGCTAAATGTTATTCAAGTTGAGAGTCATCATTATTGAGTAACTTTTTACAAGTGAATATTAATAAGTATTTACAGGTTATTTAACATTGAACTGTACAATACAGGAATATATTTGGATGAACACACAGCTGGAGAAACCATATTGTACGAGCCGCCAGGCCAGTCACACATGATTTCTCAATCTGTGTGCAAGTCCAAAAATATTCTTGTATTGTACCTGTTCAATGATAAATAACCGTTTTTAATTGATGTCTAAATTCAGGAAACCCAAATTGTCACCAAAAATAATCATTGTTTGACCCATTCTGTGCTCTTACAGTAGATTATTTTGTCATTTATCGCCTTTATTGATAATATTACATAAAAAGTAAGTAAGTAAGTAAAGGCTTTATTTATCGAGGCTACACATTTGGTTTCCCAATCTTCCATGTGGGCCTCTAAGAAAAAAAAAGTTAAGATGCATTAATTCTCAAATATGGAGTGATTTATACTAATACAGTCACTGCTATTGTTTTTTTGTTTTTTTGTTTTGCTTTTTAAGGCACATTCAATCAAAATTTATTGTTACATGTATATGTTTTCAAGCTTTATATGTGCTTAAGTATTTGGATACTTTCATTGTACAGAGTGCTGTTTCTTTTGAAAATATACAAATTATTTATTCCTGTCTTTTTGACCGAAAAATTACTCTTTTTTCCACCTATCCAAGCCAACTTCTGTCTAAGCACATTATTAGGTGTATAATAAGCATTCAGTGATAGTATTTGATATTTGTGTATTTGTGTTTTTCACTGGTTTTGTTTGCTTAAGTAATTTAACACAAAGTTGTTACCAGTTTCGAATTATACGGATTCGAATTATATGGATTTGAAATCTTTTTATCAATATTATTAAATACTAAGAAAATTAATAAAAGTGGAACAAACAATCAACACAGAGTAAGTTTTAAGGTTTATTTGATGATGATTACTGACGTTTCGACTCTCACAAGTCTTCATCAGGGTTATAAAATGTAAAATCTTTTGGCGAGCGGCAAATTCTTTGATATGTCTGTTATGCCCCTTTGCAAGACAACATCACTAAGTTGATTAGTGGGGATAGGGGCTTGAATTTCAATCAACCATAATTATAATGTGGCATGTTATATTCAACAAGTTTGTATGTCTCTTTGCATGTTGCCATCTTGAGTGATATTGAAATCTGACCTTTACCCCCAAAAGTGCCTTGAAATTTTTAGCATTATAGAGTAACTTTGTCTATGTAACTTTCTAATTCATAAACAGAACCAGATGGAGTAAAAGATTGGGATCGTTGCTGGGATAATGCCTTTGAGTATTTATAACATGTAATTTTTACTAAAGCTGGATGGTCAGTGGTTCTTCTTAGGTGCGTCTCCTTCCTGAAATAATGCATGGAAGGGCACCTGAGGTGTGTAAAATTCAACAAAACTATGTTACTGAGAACAAACAAACCGAAAGAAAATGCCTTTTCTCTGAACATAATTACATTAAAGAATTCTGGCAGTGAAGTAAATACAGAAATTAATTCAACATGCAACTATTGAAAATAAAATCTTTTAGGGTCAATTTTTGTTATTAAAAGACTTGTATAGGAAAAAATACTTAGATCAGCATTTCAAGTTTGCTTGAGCCTTTTATTAGCTCACCTGCCACAAAGTGACATGGTGAGCTTTTGTGATCGCTTTTTGTCCGGTCTCTATCCGTCCGTCCGTAAACTTTTACTTTAAACGACATCTCTTCATAAGCCTCTAAGCCAATTTCATCCAAACTTGAAAGGAATGTTCGGTTGGTAGTCAATTTTAAAAATTGTTCAAAGAATTTAATTCCAAGCAGAACACTGGTTGCCATGGCAACCGAAAGAACAAACTTAAAATTTCTTCTTTTAGAAAACCGAAAGAGCTAGAGCTTAAATATTTTGGCATGAAACATCATCTAGTCAGCGTCTACCAAGTCTGTTCAAATAAATGCCCTGTGGTCAAAATTGGCCCCGCCCCCAGGGGTCATCGATTTTCCTTATTGGTATACAGTCGAAACTGTACTAACGGTCACCTCTTATCGGCGGTCACCTGACCTTAACGGCCATTTTGTGACGCTCCCGACGAAAACCACCCTATTTTATACATCTGTTCAACGGTCACCTGCTGTCCGCGGTCAACGGTCGCCTAAAATGCTTCCCGAATTTTAAAGTCGGTCATCTTAAGCGGTCAGCCAGGTGAAACGGCCAGGCAATCTTCTGCGGTCAGCCAGGTGAAACGGCCAGGCAATCTTCTGTCATTTATTTTCAAAGATGACATGTGTCACGGATTAACAAAAGCTACTTGTCAGGTGCTAGATATTAACACAAACCACAACATTTCAAAGTTTGCATAATTGCTCATCCGTGTTGTAATTACAAACGTTTGGAACGTCTCAACGCACTTGCAATTCGTTCTTTTGAGTTACTGTACGCTAGTTTTTTTATTTTTCAATTTACCGATTTTAAGAAAAAAAGAAAGAAGAAAAAAATGCATTGTCGATGGCAGAAAGAAGTTTCAGTTTATCCCGATTCAGATAAATTTTGTGCGTACTTGGTACTTACCAAAGAAATGAAAATGAATTACATCGCCGATTGTCTAAATTCCTCAGTAATAAATTCATAAAAACACTTGCTCCATGTGTGAAAATAAAATTGCATGAATATAATGAGGTCACTGTTAAATCACACCCATTAAGTTTACACACTAGATGACCTCTAAGAGGTAACTAGCGGTCTCTTCAAAGGAATCTTTGATGTTTACAAACCTGTAGCCCTGCTGTTTCAATCCGAAACATCAAAGGAAGTGCCGACACTTAGATGACGTGTACACAATATTCTATTGATCAAAAGTTAGAAAAAGAAACTGTCATACTTTTTTTGTGAAAAAAAATATTACGCATTTTAAATTATTGTGCAAGAAGATATTTTTATGGGATAAATAGTTTCTATTATTGACATAATAAATCGTGAGTGCATTTGTTTATCTGTGTTACATTCATGTAAAGCTTTATATGTTGGAAGGATTTTGTACATGTTAAACTATTAAAAGCATACGTTTGTAAATGGTTAAAAACTGATGATGACGATGATGATGAATCAGACTGGTTTATTTATACTTAAATCAGATTTATTTTACAAAGAAATGAATAATTTATTTGGATAAAAACTGAATCCTCCATTCAGCAGCCACCTGTCTTAAGCAGCCAAAATGACTGCATCCCTTGGCTGGCTGCTTAAGACAGTTTCCACTGTATAGTAAAAACTTAAAAAACCTTCTTTAAAAAAAAACAAATAGCTAGAGCTTAGATATTAAGCATGAAACATCTTCTAGTGGGTGTCTACCAAGTTTATTAAAAAAAAAAAAACCTGGGATAAAAATTGGCCCGGCCTCAGGGGTCATTGATTTTCCTTATATGTCTATAGTAAAAACTTTAAAAAATCTCCTTTTAAAAACCCCAAAGAGCTAGAGCTAAGATATTTATCATGAGACTTCTTCTAATGGGTGTCTACCAAGTTTGTTCAAATAAAAGCCCTTGGTTTAAAATTGACCTTGGCCCAGGGGCCTATATACAGGTGAGCGATTTCAGGGCCATCATGGCCCTCTTGTATAAACTTTTGATCTATTTATATATTTTTCTATTTTTCACTAGTTTGTTTATCAGAATTTGTGAATGTTCAGTTTATCTTATTGTGTAAGGCATGCAGTTCTGTATTGTTTCACATTCTTTTGTTCGACAGTATGTAACATTCTGATTTGGTACCCTTCATGTTGTGAGACAGTTTAGTTTGTAAAGAAATGTTGTAATTATAGATCAGTGCATTACCCAACTGATGTTTGACAGATTGGTCCATACAGCTGATTGTAAACTGCTCCTTGTTATTTCAGGTTGCTAGAGCCGGGAACTGACACAGAGATTTCCAGTTACAAAATACACCGTATCTTGTTCTGTGCCCGGGGACCAGTAGAGAGTAATGAGAAACGATGCTTTGCTTTCACATTTAGCCATGGTGATTGTGCTGACTCAGCCATTTTTCAGTGCCATGTGTTCAGATGTGATCTTTCTGAAGCTGTAAGTTTGTTTTGATATACTCAAACATCAACTTCATTTATAGTCTTAAAATCAATACCTAGTTACAAATGGTTCATGAAGACTGAATCAATACTTTTTATCCTATCTTTCCAAAGTAACAACATCAATGAAACAACTAGATTTTTGATAACATAATTATGTTATTCAAGCATATTTCAGGTCAATTCTTTATGGTTAGTAGAGTATGATATTCACAGGGTTCTCAATAACAGCAGGCCACAGGCCAAAATGACTGGCTGAAATCATCAATTGGCCTGTTGGAACTCTATAAGATATACAGTTTTCTTACTTTTATGCAGAAAATTGTTGTTTAAATTACACAAAAGGCCTGCTGGAATTTGCTTTTTGGCTGCCGATGAATAATTTATTGAGTACCCTGTATTCATGGTACATCGGTCACTTTATTGTTGATTTTGGCTGACAGACTTTAGGGCCCTTTAAGGTAAAATGTATTATCAAAATATGGCCACCAGTATGAGATGTTACATTCTCATGTGTACAAAAGATTGAGATTTCTCCCACTTTAAAGTAATTTCATAAAAATAATCTAGTGTTGTGTCACTATTAAAACAAGCATTGAAAATATGGTGTCTTATGAGCCTTCTTTGCTTTAAGTCATACTTCAGCACTTTTGTTTTATGTCTCTTTCAGGTTGCTAAGATACTGTATTGTTTTGCTAATACATTCCGTAGAGTGCCAAAGAATCGATCAAGTGTATCAAAACCAATTCTAGAGTCAAATCAAGACTTTGTGTTTACTGTGAATTTGGAGATGAGAGAGGAAGATGGGAAAGGAGGGTTTACTCTCTGTCCTAGAGACAAAAATGTTTTCAAGTTACGATGTAATCTTGATAAAAGACTCGCATTAACTGTTCAACAAAGTGGATCAAAGGAACTAAAAATTGAGAGGTATAATGTAGAGATATTCTTCTATATATATTTAGTTCATTTGAGCACAAAGCACTCATATAAATAGCTGTCTGTCCTCTTTCTGTTTGTCGCCTGCCATCTATTTAAAGTGTATGTGAGCAGGATGCGTCAATGTGATCAGAGTTTCTCCAACTTGTCGTCTGTTGTCAACTTTTATTGTCATTAACATCTCTTAATCCCTTTGACAAATTATGATGAAACTTTATGGATGATTCTATACAAAAAAGGTAAAATCAGTCTTAACATTATGGCCACCAAAGCTAGACATAGAAATAATCTCTAAAACTTAATATTATGACTTTATCTTGCAACAGTTCTTAGGCATGCAATCCAGAAATACTTTTTAGCCTGTATTTATAATTACAAATGTTAACAATAATGTAATACATTAGATGGTAGTGTACAGTAAAAAGTACAACTTTTAATTCTAGAATTAGGCTATATGAGGGACTGTAAGTCAAAGGTAACATTTCTCTCTTTAGGAAAAAATGTTTGTACTGAAAAACTTTAAACTGTTCTGATGTAAACACACACAAAAATTCATTAAATAATATTCAAAGTCTAAAATTATGTCCCAAAAATGAATGGGAAATAAATTCAATATAAGAAAGTGTTTTTAAAATGTTTTTTTGTTTGTTTTTGTTTCAGATGTTTTGGTCTGCTGATCAGTCCAGGAAGAAATGTCAAACACGGAGACATGACTCTTATTGAAAAGGTTTGTAGTATTGAATATTAAAATGTCTGGGTTTTTTTAATACTTTGGTATTATGTAATTTTTAAAATTAATTTTGTATATTTGAAGTATAGAAGGGGAGATAAATTATTCTCAAAATTTTACTCACTCTGACCAATACTGGGGGCCATGTCTGCATTAAGATTTCTAGTAATTAATGTAAATTAATTAATAATGTTTTGACTATTATTTTAAATAACAACATTGTCTAGAGCTGAGATATTTGGCATTTAGCTTTTCTTAGTAGATTTCCACAAAATTTTATCATTCATGCACCAGTGGTAAAATGTGACCCTGGGTAGTTTCTGTTTCATTGACTTCTTTTGGAAACTAACTTCATAAATTTGATCAGAAACCAAGGAAGTATATAATATACATGTAGTTGGGGAACAAAATATTAAGGAAAGAAATCTGTATCGACTTAAGTAGAAGGTCTTTTAAAATGGTTTTCACAGTAGTCTAATATTAGCATTCAGATCAGGTAAAAGTATATAACTTGATTGTGATTTATTAAATGGAAATTTCTGTATTCACTCAGACATCTATGGGATATGCTGGTGAAGATGGTGTCTATTCTATAACTGGTCACTGGGATCCAACAGAGAGCAGTTTTGCTGTACTAAACACTGAAACACAAAAAGGTATGTGTTATAATTATGATAGATTATATATGTTATGTGAACTCTCTAAATGATATGTTCTGTGATAGGTTATCCAGTTACTTTTAGATATTATCTATTTGATATACTTGAACTCATGAAGGTGAAAATGCAAATTTAAAAACCACCAAAACCCTGGTTCATTGAAGACATTATTTCCATAAAATGACAGTATAATCTCACATCCAAGAACATTAGAATTTTCAAAACAGTACATGTAATTTCTCATAAATAGAGAAAATCGAAATATGCTAAGAAAGTTCTCAAGTTCAAAGAAGATTTCATTAAGTACTATTGGATTGCAGCAAAAGCTCTAATCTGAAGTAAACACAGAATAGTCTGCTTGATAAGTTTTCTTAGTAATTTATAGCTAAGATCAAGAAAAAAAGATGGCCGGTTAGTTGTACAAATAGTTTCTGTCTGATATGAAAGTTACAGATATTATTTTTTTTCCAAGTTCTCCTCAGTAATTATAATGCAGCTGATACATGTTACATGTTGTATGAAGCATTGATATCAGTCATACCCTTGGGGTCACTTATTTTACTTGTTTCACTTTAAATTATTTGAAAAAGTCACCTCATACATTATTTTGTCCAGTTTCATTTACCTAGATTGTAGTGAATAATGATGAATTTTTTCTTCTATTATACAGATACACGAGTGTTTTTGACAGTTGCCATAGATCTAGTCATAATAGGAATACAAGAGCCTGTGAGATTTGCTATTGAAACAAAAGCAAAGATATTTCCACAGACTGAGAGATTTTGGTACTTCATGAGTAAACCCCATACAGAGCTCTTCCATGTTAAATTAAAGCCGGTAAAATTTAATTTTTAAAGATATTGTGATTTAAAATTTTATGCTGGAGCAAGTGAATAGGAGTTAAAAATATAAAAACCCTATAAAGGGCATGGTTGAGTTTAGTGTAATTCAGTAGGAATTGTCTTTGGATGGTCCTCAATGAAAAATAGCAAACAGTTATTCAGAATCTGGTTGCAGTCATCGAATTTAGCACTGGCCCGGTGGCCCATGGCAAGTGAATATAAGTTGGGCCTGTGAAAATTTTAAGAAGTCTCTCCAGGGACTTTGGATCCTTACATATGCAGGGCAATCGTTTGGCCATTTTTGGGGCCGAATATCGGCCCCATTCCCCTCTCAAAATCATATGCTTTTTTCCCCTATTTCAGTAGAAAATTCCCCTAAAAAAAAAATTGTAGTGTAAAGGTTTGATATCTAACAAAAAAAGTGATGTTTTGATTTCATAAAAATAAAATATATTTCTGTTTAACTTTCAATGGATTGAAAACTAAAATACAGTTGTCAACAACGCTGTATGTTAAAACCGAAAGTAGCAGGAAGTGAGGTAACAAGGGAGGTAACTCTCGTAAAATTATTGACAAAATTAATGTGGCAGATAATCATCGTAGGAGTTTACCTTATATTCAATTTGTTTAGAGAATAGACATACATTGTCATATTCTACTAATAAATAAACAAAACTATTTTAATTTCTGTCAGTTGTTGTTGGAAAAACGTATTTCTCTTGCAGTTTTGTACTCAAATATTTTCGTACCAAATATTTTCGTACCCAGTTTTACAGTTACAGACAATATCCTCTAAACCAAAACCTTTTCTAGAAGAGGCATAAAACTTTCTTGTTTATTTTTATTTAATTCTTATTTCAATTGTTACAATTGTTTCAATCTAAAGAACAGGCAGAAATATGTTGAAAATAGATTAAGAACTGACCAGTGCAGATTGCAAAATAGTGTGATACATTTTTAACTTTAGAAATAAAGAAAACATTAATGACTATAATAGGAAATAATTTTGCTGTGTTTCCATAACTTGGGTTCAACATACCCTTGCCTAGGAAAGTCTGCCTTCCCAGAGCTTGTTGCACTGATTCAATTTTTGTTGTACAAGTTTTTTTACAACAACAACAAAAACAACTGTCAGTTTTATTTTTTTATCATAAACAAAAATGCATTATGCTTGTTATAGATTTTAATATAACCCTAACGTTTTTCAGAATTTGCATTTTACCCCTCACTTTAGAATTTGAGGGGTATAAAACCCTTGGCCAAAAGCATATAATTATCTGGAGCTCTGATTGATGTCTGAGTCAGTCAAGTGCAATAAGAAAGCAATAAAGAAAACAATGAGATAGCCTATCTCAAGAAAAACTTCATGTTATATGTTTTATTTGTTATGTCTCTATAGTAATAAATATACTAGCTTTTGTAAGTAATGGTAGGAAATTGTGCCAAGAGTTAGTGTAAAACTTAAATATAAAGAACTTGTATATGGCTTAAAATTCCCCTTTTTGTCTTAAAATGACACAAAATTCCCCTTCCTGAGGGTATGGGTACCTGTCCCCAAAAGTTGTCTAGTGCCCTGATATGAGAATGCTATCAAGCTTGCTCAGTGGCTCTACTCAGAAGCTCACTTGTGCTTGAAATAATGCACGACAGGGCACATGAGGTCTCTCTTCACCATTAAAGGTCTCTGTATAACTTTCACAGTCTCATTGTGATGTAAAATAAAAAAAAAAAATAACAAACTTTATTAATTCTCTGATACATTCTTAAATTTAACATAAAGCTAAGACCACGTATATTTAATAGTGTGATAATGTTGATGTTTGTGTAAATGACAATGTTTGTGTATGTATAGATTGAGAGCAGTAATGGAGACATTAGCCATGAAGTTGTTAGTGTAACTAGTCAGACAGAGTTAGATAGAAAGAAAGGGGGAATGTCTTTACCGTTAGGTCAATCCAAATATGTACGTGATGATATACTGACACCTCAAGATGGACCAGATGAAGAATCAGGTATGTTTATATCTTATCCCTTAACCTGCTAATGCTTTGTAATGGATTTGCTTTGAATTTAGAACAGTCCATTTCAATCCATAAAGGGATTTTAACATCAAAATACAAAAATTGTGCTACCAACAGGAAGACTGTGGGGATATGTAAGCTGGCTTGACTTTATACTGGTGGCAAAGGCTAAACACTTAAGGTTCAAGCAGGTCAAGACTTATTCTACCTCTTGTATCTCTCTGTTGTGTCTATATGTAAAAATGTTTATATTTATTTTAAAGCATGATAAAGATAAAAAACTTGCATATGAAGATCTTGAGTCTTTTTACTTGACCAACCAGTACTGTGTCATATGAGAAATCATGGTCATGACCTCAGTAAGGCTCAGAAGTTTTGGTTTAGAGGCGGATACTTCATCACTATGTCTACTCTCCCCTATTAAACCAATCTAAGCTATTTATATGACTCATCCCCTGAAATATGACTGAATCCCATTAATTATACATTACCATCAAAAGATAGGTAATGCTCTTTTATATGACATTGAATTCCTTGATATTATAAATAAATAAATTGATAAAGTAAAATTACAATATTGTTTACCAGTATACAATATAGACTATGTTTTAGATCCAAAAAAACAAAGATGTAAATTTTGTTATTAATGATGAACTTTTTTTAGAAACTCTTTTGATGGAAATAAGAGATAAAACTATATCTTACAGCTCTTATAAGGTCAAGGAAATCAGTTAAAATATACCAAAACAACACATATTTCTTTAATCTTTACTAGTTTCGACTAGGTCAAGGAAAGAAATACCTATGAAAAAAAGTTGATTGAAGAAATTATTCTTATAGAGCAAAACCTGACAATTGAAAATAAAGACAAACTTTTACACTTACAGAATGAATTAAATGAATTAAGAAATAGGAAAATAAGAGGTGCTATGATAAGGTCAGGGTCACAATGGATTGAATCTGGAGAAAAGCCTACTAGTTATTTTTGTGTCGCCTTGAAAAGGTGACATATAGGGGTTACTTTTGTCGGCGGTGTCGGCGGCGGCGTCTGTGTCGGCGTCGTTGTCGGCGTCCCCTAAAGCTTGTCCGGAGCATAACTCAGTCACTATAAGTCTGATAGACTTCAAACTTGGTATACATGCTTCTTTCAATAACCCGAAGTGCAGTGCACAAGAACTGGTACTCTGCAGTTCTTATTTTTTGAGTTATTGCCCTTTGTTAATTTTCATACTTTGATTTTGTCCAGGCCATTTCTCTTCAACTAAAAAAGCTATGGACTTGAAACTTCATAGGATGATAGATCTCATTATTAAGAAGTGCAGTGCACAAGAACCAGTACTCTGCACTTCCTAATTTTTGAGTTATTGCCCTTTGTTAATTTTCATACTTTATTTTTGTCCGGGCCATTTCTCCTAATGTATAAAAGCCATGGACTTGAAACTTCATAGGATGATAGGTCTCATTAAGAAGAAGTGCAGTGCACAAGAACTGGTACTCTGCATTTCTTATTTTTTGAGTTATTGCCCTTTGTTATTTTCATACTTTAATTTTGTCCGGGCCATTTCTCCTTAAGTATAAAAGCTATGGACTTGAAACTTCATAGGATGATAGATCTCATTATTAAGAAGTGCAGTGCACAAGAATCGGTACTCTGCATTTCTTAATTTTTGAGTTATGGCCCTTTGTTAATTTTCATACTTAATTTTTGTCCAGGCCATTTCTCCGAAAGTATAAAAGTTATGGACTTGAAACTTCATAGGATGATAGATCTCATTAAAAAGAAGTGCAGTGCATAAGAACTGATACTCTGCATTTCTTATTTTTGAGTTATTGCCCTTTGCTGATTTTCTTACTTTATTTTTGTCCTGGTCATTTCTCCTCAAGTATGAAAGCTATGGAGTTGAAACATCATAGAATGATAGATCTTATTGATAAGAAGTGCAGTGTACAGAAACTGCTGCTCTGCACTTATTATTTTTTGAGTTATTGCCCTTTGTTATTTTCATATTTCATTTTTGTCCTGGCCATTTCCCCTAAACTTCATTGTTCACAAGGCGACACATCCGACTCGCGGAGTTCTAGTTTAAACTTAGAGAAAACACATTGTTCAGATAAAGTTATTCCTTTTCTAGAACTCGATGATGGATCTTTTATATATGATCAGAAAGATATTCTTACAAAGACATGTAGTTATTATGAAATTTTATATAAAAATGTTGATATAACTGAAGAATCTAAAATTGATATGGAATTAGAAAATTGTAATGTTACCAAGTTGTCTCAAAATGAAGCATTGAATCTTGAAGGTCTTCTTTCATATGATGAAGTTTCTTTTACATTAAAAAATATGAAAAATGATAAAAGCCCAGGTTGTGACGGATTTACAGCAAATTTTTTTTAAATATTTTGGAATAGAATAGGACATTTTGTTGTGAAAGCTATAAATTTTGCTTATACTGTTAATTCTTTTTCTAGAAATCAAAAGCTAGGAACAATAACATGCATTCCATAAGAAAAAAACCAAAACGATTTTTAAAAAATTGGAGACCAATAACTTTATTAAATGTAGTTTATAAATTAGCTTCAGGTTCCATACATGTAGCAAACAGACTTAAACTTGTTTTAGATATTTTAGTTTCAAAAGATCTGACAGGATTTGTTAAAAATAGATATATTGGTGAGAATACTCGATTATTGTATGATATTATGAAATATACTGAGGATAATGATATACCAGGTTTAGTAATGATGATAGATTTTGAAAAAGCGTTTGATACTTTATCTTTTACATTTATAGAGAAATGTCTAGAACTTTTTCACTTTGGTCCTATGTTAAAAAAATGGATATCTTTATTTTTATATAATACTGAAACCTGTGTTATTTTAAATGGATTTTTATCAAAGTTTTTCAAAGTTAAACGAGGATGTAGACAAGGCGATCCTATTTCACCTTATATCTTCATTTTATGTGCAGAGATTTTAGCAATAAAAATAAGACAATGTAAAGATGTCAAAGGTATAAATATAGATGGGGAGGAAGATAAAATTACACAATTTGCTGATGATACTTCACTTTTGCTAGATGGATCAGAAAAGTCCCTTAATACTGTTTTAAAGTTATTAAATACGTTTTCAGAAATTTCAGGATTAAAAGTAAATTTTGATAAAACTAAAGTTATTTGGATAGGCTCTCTTAAATACAGTACAAGATCTATTAAGACAAAATGGAAACTGACATGGGGTGATACACAGGTTAAATTGTTAGGTTTGATATTTGATGTTGATTTAGAAAAAATGATAGAGTTAAATTTTAATGAAAAGCTTCAGAAAGTTAAAAATAGTATAGGATAATGGAAAAAAAGAATGTTAATACCAATAGGAAAAATTACTGTTGTTAAGTCATTACTCCTTCCTTTATTCACTTATTGTTTTACAAGTTTACCAACACCTAATTCAGCATTTTTGAAAACACTTAATGACTTATTTTATAAATTTATATGGGAAGGTAAAGCAAAGATAAAGCAATCAGTAGTTATTAAAACATATCAGGAAGGTGGTCTAAATATGATTGATATTGATAGTTATATACATTCTGTAAAGATAAAATGGTTGAAAAGATATGTTAGTAATAGTAACAGTAAATGTTATAAGCTAGTGATGGCTTTATTCAATATTGATAAAGTGTTTAGCACAGGTAAATTGTTTTGTAAATTGACAATTGATAAAATTAAAAATGCTTTTTGGATAGATGTTTTAAAAGCTTATATGATTTTTACAGATAAACTTTGTATAGACAGTTTAGAACAAGTGTTACAAATGCCATTGTTTTACAATCATAACTTGTTAGCAGGAAATAGATACTTTTATATAAAAAAAAATTTATGGAAAAGGAATCAGATTTGTTAATGATATTATTAATCAACAAGGCGATTTTGTAGATTTAACTTACTTAGAGCAGGTGACACAAAAACAAGTAAATTTTTTACAATATCATAGTTTGAAAAAAGCAATATTATTATACATGCAAAAGCTTAACATTTCTATTTGTAAAGATTTTATTAATGTTCAATACCCTATTATGAGTTGTTATATTAAACCTATTTTAATTACACAAAATAACAATAAGAAATATGTTTATGAAACTCTAGTTAGAAATCAAGATGTACCAACATGTCAAGAAAAATGGAACTCTTTTTTACAAATTTTGATAGAAATTGGAATTTAATATATAGTTATGTACAGTCAAACATGTATTAAGCGACCGGGCAAGGGAAACACCAAAAACGGTCGCTTAATGAAACGGTCTCTTAAGACGGTCAGCATGATATAAAAGTCAAAATTTATAAATGACATCTTTTTTATTCGATGGGATTGTTTTTCAACTTCATTTTTATATAAATGTTGAATAGTAAGTACGCTCCGATAACCTAAACGGATGCAAATGTAAACATAACGTTCTGATATTTATTGACAAAATCAGTTTTGATCCATTACGTACATGTTTGACATTTTTTCCAGAATTTTTTAACTTATCCGTTGTTTTTCCTTGTCTCCAACTCGAAAACCCTATTAGTGAAGATGTTTTCTGTTGTGCATTTTTTCATTTGAAATAAACAAACTAGATCTACATCTATTTGTTACGATTAATTTAATGGCTGATCAAGTTCAAGGTCAATTCAATGCAGTCTAAATGTCAACAAGCGAAGCGTATACACCATCTCAGTATGGGCGGAGCGTTGCATTGTTTATCTGATATTATTGGATAATACATGTCACGCGTATACTTAACTTCATTTGCATACGCTAAAACGGTATGGGAAATAGAGTTTTTCACACGTTTATTGTTGTGTTTTGATTGCTGACACTTGTGACATAACCGAGGTGGCGTTCTCTAAAAACACAATTACTTGACAGGTAAAAGTGGTCGTTTAATGAAAAGATTGATGTCAATTAGGTGATTAATTAGCGGGTCGCTGGTCGCGTTGAGCAAAAGTCGCTTTATACATTAAAGATATAGAGAGAAAATGATCGGGGGGATTTAAAGTGGTCGTTTAAGACAAAAGTCGCTTAATACACGTGGTCGCATGGGCAAGTTAGACTGGTAATTTAAATGTACCAAAGATTCTTATATTCAGTGGTTTCAGACGAGAAATAATTCATAGAACTTTAGCAACAAACTCACTTTTATTCAAAATGAAAAATTGTTAATAGTAAAATGTGTACTTTTTGCAATTGCCAAGAGGAAAAAACTCTGTAGGCATATATTTTGGGGAATGTCCAAAAAAATACAATCGTTATTTCAATATCTGAAAGACAACTATAGATAATTTTGATGATAAAGTTTAAATTGTAAATTCATTTAGTTTAGGTTCTGAAGTAATGATTTTAAATATGATATTTTGTTTTTAGAATTGAAAAGATTATATTTATTTGTCAAAGAGAAAATTTCATGTTACCTATTATACCTGGTTTTTAGAAATTAGTCTTAAATTGGCGTGGAAATATTTACAAAAAATACAAATTTGACCAAAAAACATGTAAATGAAGGATGGCAAATTGTAAGAACTTTAAATAAACACTAATGGGCTACACTTAAATTAAATTTACCCCAAACCAATATGCTTTTTTGTATAATACATTATCATACATAATTGTTATACTTATTTTATGAAAATTGATTGAATGCTTGTATATAATGTATTATTGTAATTATAATTATTATAGATGATGATATTAAAATTATGTAGATATCATGTAAGGTATCAGAGGATGACCCCCGACCCTCTCATACCTATTACGGGGTAAATAAATGGGGTTACCCAGTTGGGGCCTCAAAAAAAAAAAAATCAAAAAAATCAAAAGATAGATAAAATATTGTTTTGCTAATGTATACTACAGATACAGATGAGCCATTGTTAAGTGGATCAGGGGTAGTTAGTAAGGAGATTACTGATGAAAATATCCTGGAAGCCTGGAAAGATGTTCTCAAACGATGGCATCAAAATCTGTCCCAAAAACCAAAACAGGTAAACAAAGATTCATGAGTGATAAAGATTAATATTTCAAAAAATTTTTAAAGGAATTATTAACAGGAAAGTTCCCTTACTACTCAAAACTTGCCACTGTAATAATCAAGAAAAGCCGTTTGAAGGTATTCCAGTTGAGACAGAATTGACATAGCTACATATTTCTTTAGATGACTGTTTACAAATGTTCTTTAAATGCTATCAATCGGATCCAAAGGTCACAAGAGCTTAAATAGGCTTAAAAGGAAATCACTTTAGCTAACACAGACTTGTATGAGAAAACTAATAATCTGAGCGAAAAGTGTTTCTTTCTTTAGCTCTTAATCAAGTTGTATATCTCAAGATATTGCCACACTGGTTTTGTTTTGTTTTTGTTTTTAAATAGAATGCCTCCAGTTACGTATGTATTTTTTATGAGAAATTGCTTTTAATTGTAAAGCATACAAATTGAGATAACATTTTCTGAGGCGCTTGTTATTTACAGAAATTAAGTAAAATGGGGTCAAAACAGGTCATTACATGCATAATTAGGACCTACTATGGTAGAATTCGTGATTCAAAGTAAATTTTTTCATATTTTGCATGCTGTCTTTTATAATAAAATGGCATATATTTGATTACTGCTACATTCTATGATATCAGGTAAACCAATTGGCAAAGAAGGGAATTCCTGAAGCTCTAAGAGGAGAGGTATGGCAACTGCTGGCAGGTTGCGAAACAAATCATGAATTATTAGAGGCCTACAGGATACTTATAACTAAGGTATGTTAGCATATAACCTGTCACTAGAGGTGAAAATATTTCTTTCAACATTTATTCTTGCAAGTAATTCCGGCACTCGAGGTCCACATGCTTATGCTTAACTTCTTGTTTTGTACAATAAATTTTGTAATGTGATAATTGATAAAAAAATTCAGTTTGTTTGTTTCAGGACTCAAGCAGTGAAGCTGTGATACAGAGGGATATTAACAGAACATTTCCAGCCCATGATTTCTTTAAAGAAAGTGGTGGCCTTGGGCAAGAATCTTTGTTTAAGATATGCAAGGTAAATGGGTATTCTCATAGGTGCCTCAAGAACAAGAAATATGAAAGCTTAAAGTAATAATTCTGTCACTTAACCCTTAACTTGCTTTTTGTCTGAAAGTATATGGCCTATGTGGCTGAGGGGTTGCCTGAGAGGGTTGAGGCATCAGAATTGCATCCACCTTTTATCCCTGTGTGATTGTAAGAGGCAACAAAATTTGTTCAAATTACTGGAGTGTATTCATCCCTTAACTTCAGCAGGTGAGGTGGTTTTGACCCCTGGTTTAGTATGTTACACCTGAGGTTACACAAAATCATCTTTCATATGACCTAAATTCTTTTGGTGTGTTGTAAAACACAAAAAAAACAAGACATTATTATGATAATAATATCTCTTAAAAAATGAATTGATGTCTGGTAAAAGACCCAATTTTGTTCTTTATCATTCTTGACAGTGAGTGAAGTTGAAGAGACAAAGATAAAAGTCTGTCAATATTTTTGAACTAGGTCAATAGGCAGTCATTGTAAATGTAAAAAGGATATTTAGATAGGTAATATCAATCACAAAATGAATAAGTGCTCCTTGATTTTTTAACAATAAAAAAACAAAAAAAACTAATGTCCTCAATCTGATGATGATCTTCTTCACAATTTCAGGCATATTCAGTTTATGATGAAGAGATAGAGTATTGTCAAGGTCAGTCATTCCTAGCTGCTGCTCTCCTGTTACATGTAAGTTTATGCTTACCTACATATTTGTTCTTTTATTAAAGTTTTGTTCATGTAGTATTTCAGGCTGAAACATCAATGATGCTAAGTTAAGCTTCCTTAGGGGCTTACTAGATCAAGTGGTTAAGGAAGCTTGACATTGAGTTAATTACGCCAACTGCTGCGAGTTCAAATCCCACCAGGGACTTTGGATTGTTTCATGAGAGGAAGCTTACTTATGGCAGATTGTTGTTCTACTTTGATTGAGGTTGTATTGATGAAAATAATCATAAATGTTTAGCTTAGCTATTCCCAATAGGTACATTAAAGATGCAATATGTTCAATGTTCCTCTGCCTGCCTGTACAAATATCTGTCCAGTTATAAGTTGTGGCCAAGCGATAAAGATCCTTTGTAGGGGCCTCCGTGGGCGAGTGATTAAGGTTGTTGACTTGAGATCACATGTCCCTCACCGGGTTGAAATCTTTCATGTGAGGAAACCATCCAGCTGGCTTACGGAAGGTCGGTGGTTCTTCCTCCACCAATAAAAGCTGGAAAAAAATCTTGGCGGGACACTCTAGGATGGCCCGACTTGAGTGTACGGTCGCTCATATGGGCTTTCCGGCGGCAACCTTAAATAATCGCATTAAAAAAAAAAAAAGATCCTTGACTTTAAACAGTCTTTAATTCTTTCATGTGAGGAAGCTATCAAGAGAGCTTATGGAATGTTGATTGTTTCTACCCAGATGCCAGCTTGTACCTGAAATAATGCACAGAGTGGAACCTAAGGACGTCCTCCACCAGTAAAGCTGGAATGTTGCCACATGCCCATTACGATGTCAGTGTGACTTAAAACTCAAAAACCATTAATAACTAATTAAAAATATTAATAACGTTTAAACTTTAATTATAATCCTAATCTTTTTTAGATGCCTGAGGAGCAAGCATTCAGTGTTTTAGTGAAGATTATGTTTGACTATGGACTAAGAGACTTCTTTAGAAATGACTTCAATGTTCTACATCTGCACTTTTATCAATTAGAACGTCTCTTACAGGTAAACTGTTATACATTGTATTTTCTCTTAAAGTTTTTCATTATTTGAAAAAGTGGTCATTTATATTAAGTCTTTTGTTGGAGCTATGGAGTCTCTACAAATATGATTGATTGATAATATAGAATTGGTCTGTAATTAGTTGATCTAGAAAGCTAGATTGCAGGAATCGCAAAATATCAAGAGAGCATGATTGTGAAAATCACATTTTATAGAGGGCAAAATTGCATTGATCAAGAATTTAAGATTGTGCAAAAATAACACGCTGTCACTATATAGAGGGCATGATTGCATTATTTATATTATGTAGAAAGTAGGAGTGTGAAAATGATGTCCTATCTAGAAAATATGATCCCATGAATCAAACTATATAGAGTGTGTAATTGTGATAATCTCAAACTGTCACTGTTCTATAGTCCAATAACTCTCTTATTTCATTACAGTATCTGAAGGCATGCAGCAGAGTTAACCTATTAGTTATATGAATGTTAGAAGTTGTTTGGTTATACATTGTATTGTGGAATTTATATTTTCAGGACCAGTTAGTTGATATATTTGATCATTTCATGGAGATGGGAGTAGAGGCTCACATGTATGCTTCACAGTGGTTTCTCACATTGTTTACAGCCAAGTTTCCACTCTTCATGGTCTTCCACATTCTAGATATCTTCCTTAGTGAGGGCCGTAACTTTATCTTCAATGTGGCGCTTGCCTTGCTGAAGGTATATATGAACTTTCTAGAAAATTACTGTAGAATTTTGGGGTTGATTTTAGTTCCATGATGGGCATATGTAACTGCAGTTTCAGTGTATCATTCTATTTTGTTTCTTTTTTGTATTACATTGATGAATTTTAAAGTAAACAACATTTTAATATAAGATGTGATGTGCAACTGTAAATATCATAACTATGTCTCCTGTTGTTTATTAAAGTGAGGAATTATTTCACATGATGTTCAATGTTATAATTTTATTTTCATGTCATTTATCTCAAAACTACATCATTTACTATAAGAGCTATTTTGCTTGATGCATTTTGCTTTTATAGGTTCTGTCATTACAAAATATACAAATCAAGATTTTCACTCATATTTTACAATCAAGAGATCAAGTTCAACAAAATAAAGAAGCTTTGATCATGTGACAAGTACCATAAGGCATGCAATGTAAATTCACAAAATATGCTTGTTTCATTTAGGTTTCAAGAAAGGATTTGCTTGCATTGGACTTTGAAGGTGTTCTTAAATATTTCCGTGTTCAACTACCTAAGAAATTCCGTACTGAAGAGGCTACAGGAGATTTGATGCAGACTGCAGTAAGCTGTAAGGTAAATGCACGTAAACTGAAAAAGTACGAGAAGGAATATCTTGCCATGAAGGAGGAGGAGCTACAGAAGGAAGACCCAGTAGAAAGGCTTGAGGTTGGTAGTTTTAAATATAACACTTCTAGAATAACAATAGAAAATCTAAAAAATAACCTCTCATGAAATTTTTAATGGATTATTACCACATTGATACTTATGTTTGATAGCATAGGATATCATATCCTTGGATGGTCCCTATATGAGCTCACTTGGCACAATCATGGGCTGTAAGAGCTGAAGTTAGAAAACAAACATTCAACATCTTCATCTCATAACAAATTGTAGGACCTTGACCAACATGGTTTATTATTTAACATTCTTGAACTTTTATAGAGGTTGTTTAAATGACTGAGGTTGTTTAAATGACTATCAGCTCTAGATTGTTGAAATGACTTTGTCAGTTCTTTTGAGAGGCCACTGAAACAAACTGTATTAATCCTTTTCAAGAGCTTATTTTGCGGAGTAAACACACAAATAAACGTGAATAGTAGAGCATAGCATAGTGATAATTTGTAATGTTCTGTATGTTTAATAAAATTGTCTTCATTACAGCGTGAGAATAAAAGATTAATGGAGGCAAATATTCGTCTTGAGCAGGAGAATGATGATATGGCACATGAACTGGTGGAGAGTAAACTTAATCTTACCAAGAAACTTGATTTGGTAAGTCAATTCTACTCATATAACCTTTAAATGGTTAACAATCTCTACTCAACCTTACCAAGAAACTTGATTTGGTAAGTCAATTCTACTCATATAAGCTTCAAATGGTTAACAAACTCTACTCAACCTTACCAAGAAACTTGATTTGGTAAGTCAATTCTACTCATATAAGCTTCAAATGGTTAACAAACTCTACTCAACCTTACCAAGAAACTTGATTTGGTAAGTCAATTCTACTCATATAAGCTTCAAATGGTTAACAAACTCTACTCAACCTTACCAAGAAACTTGATTTGGTAAGTCAATTCTACTCATATAAGCTTCAAATGGTTAACAAACTCTACTCAACCTTACCAAGAAACTTGACTTGGTAAGTCAATTCTACTCATATAAGCTTCAAATGGTTAACAATCTTTACCGAAACTTGATTTGGTAAGTCATTTCTACTCGTAGTACTTTCATTTGGTTAATAAACTTAACTTTGTAAATTTTTCCCCTATAAGCTAGTATTCTACAGAAACATACTTGATTTTGCAGTGCCAAGATACGAGTGAAGCTTTAACATCGGAGCTAATGCAGACAAAGAAACGTTTGGTAGAAACTGAAGAGGAGAAACAAAGATTGGAGCTAGAATCACAACAGGTTGATAGTTTATAAGTTTATACAAGTGATATTCACAACCATGTATAATGATTTGTTTACACTAACACTTGTATTTGTTGCTGCTCTATATATGGTTTGTGATATTGTTAAGTGGGTCTGTACATTGGTTGTCTATGAAGTAGTATTAATCATGCCCATAGGGTCTGAATTGGCCCTTGGGTCACTTTTGATACATAGACTTACTTATAGGGGGAGTGAGGGTCATTTAAAGATCTCCTTTTAGCTTGAAAAAGCACAGGCTTCAGATATTTGAGGAAATAGTGTTTCAAAACGTGTTTAAAATTTTGTTCAGCACACTGTATAGGAGCTTTAATGTAGATGTTACTCCTGTCAATTCACACATTGCCATAAATATACAAGTATTGCCCTTTAAAGGCAATATGAATTTTCCTTTGTTATTTTCACATTTTAAAGCTTGGTTTGAAGTCAAGGCTAGCTGGTAGAATTACTGATAGTGTAATACCAAGTCTTTGTACTCTGTTCTTGTTATTTAATTTCTTTAATTTTAATACTGTATATACAGGTTAAGGAGATGTGTAGAAGGGAGTTAGAGAGGTTGGAAGCAGACAACAGTCGTAATACAGTCATCATAGCCGACTATAAACAGATTTGTTCTCAACTTAGTGAACGCCTTGAGAAGCAACAAACAGCAGCCAAGAAGGAATTAGAAGCAATAAGGGTAATGAGTTGTAATGTCTTCTTTCTTTCATTAGTCATTATTGATTATAACTCACTATTTTTGTTAATGATTTCTATTTGGGGCATCTGTGTCCCAGTGATTAAGATTGTTCTTCAAACTTCTAGCTGCTAAATGTTCGAAACCCACAAAGGACCTTAGATCCTTTCATGTGAGGAAGCTCTTGTCTGAAATAGTGCTTTTTGGGACACCTGAGAGATTCCTCCACCAGTAAATCTGAAAATTCAACATATGACATTACAGTGTCAATGTGAAACCAAACAAAAAAATGAACAGACTTTAAAAAAGGAAAGTTAAATTAAAGAATATAATAAATGTTATCATAAAGAAACATCTATTTTATTTTAATTGACTTTACAAGCTTAGATAATGCACATAATTGAATTTATCTGTTTAATATGAACAGATGCAATATATTTGTTAATTACTTGTTTTTAGAATGCAAACTGTATAGAATGATTTTACTTATTATTACGTAAGTTTTATAGATAATGCCCTTAAGATCAAATTTGACCTGCCATTTGGGTCACTTAAGTAACATACACTTAGGAAGGAAAACATAAATCTCCTTGTGAGGAACCACATGGTAATCAAAAAACCTAGGGTAAAGTTTTGTTGATATTGAACTTCAACCGTTAGTGATCACAATGATATAGTAATATGGTTTTAAATTTTTAACTTCTTAACTCAAATTTTGACCTTTCATACATTTCAGTGTTTGAAATCAAATTTTGACCTTGAATGACCTGACCTTTAGCCATTGACCTACTTTTGTATTGAAGACAGTATAAAAATATTTATTTGAAAATATTCTGTTGCAGGGTCAAGTGAAATCTTGTGAGCATTGTTCAGCCATGTTTGATCCCGAAGGTAAAGTTCAAGTCCCTGAGCCGAAAGTTGATCCAGAAAGTCTCAACCCGCGTATCATGGAACTTGAAAGACTTGTTCGTGAACTGGAACTTGAGCTTGCTCAGACAAAGCTGGCGCATGTAGAGTCAGAATGTAAAACACAAGACTTGACTCATCAGTTAAACTCTGCTGTCTCAGAAATCCAAGCATCTAAAAATACCTGGTTTACCAAAACAATCAATTCCATAAAGGAAGTAGCAACTACGCAAAAGAAAGATTCAAAGGATTTACAGCGAAAAGATTCCACATCAAAAGAATGAATAGTGTAACAAGATTTAGATGAATGGTGAGACTGTATAAGAGTGACAGCGTGGAAATACACACTTGATTCTGTATCAAGCAAAAATAACAATCTTCAAAAAGTGTTTCCTTGTTCTAGATTATTTATTTTTTTGTGTTCTGAAGTCGCTACAGTGTAAGCTTTTTGTAACATTTCAATTTAGCAAAAGTTGTACTTGTGAAATAATAGTGATAAATATTGGGGCTTTTATTATCAATATACAATGTATGTACATGTTATGTTGGGATATTAAATGACAAACTTAATAACATTCTGTCCCAAAACGGAATACTTGACTGTCATGGGCTAGTCCAAAATATAAGACAATGCGCTTTTTATACCCCCATATAGTTTATATTGGGCAAACGCAATGTGTGAGAAGTTTATGTTGGCAAAAGCAATGTGTGAATGATATTGTTCTTAAACCAGTAGCAAAATACAAATTTTTGGAAATGTTTCAATAGCTTAAGTCAATAATTTATCATATATCTGTTCATTTGCTTGCATAATTACCACTCAAAAATTCTTGAACAGTATATTAACTGATTTTGAATTAAATATATATTAAAACAATTTGGTGTATATCAACTGTACAAGGAATTTGATTTAAAAAAAAAATAAATAAAAAAATTTAAACATGATTTTCAGATGTGACAGTTAATTCAAATGTAATTAATTTTTACTTTAGTTCAACTTGGATTTAAAGCAATGATATGCTAATTTAACAGTGAAATCTTTTTTGTAAGAATAACTTGCAGAATATGCTATATGTTTTTGAGCAATTTTGATATAACTTTGCTTTGCCAAGAAACTACCAGAGAGCAACATAATATTTTATAGGACTAGTCATAGGTGTTAATATTTTTTGTAGATATATTTTAAGTTATTATTATTATAAGATGCTTACACAAGTAAAGAAATGTTTCTTAAAACAATAAAAGAGAAAATTGAAATAAGAAATTGGTGAATCTTTAAGACAAACAAATATACAGAAATGATTATCATAGGATAGCAGTTGTGTACAGTTACATGTGAGGCTTCATATCAGTGCAATATGTATAAACTTTTAACACATAAATGATTTTTGTTAAGTATTTACACATTCTTGATGTTACAGTATTTTATCTCACCTGAGTGTGAAGTTCAGGTAAGCTGTTAGGATCAGTCAATTGTCTGTCATCCACAATATGGTTGTTAACTGTGTAGAGAGTTTTGTTCTGATTTAATGTAAGAATATTTCTTAAACAATATCATAGAAAGGAAGTGATATGAGAAATCTTTGGTAAATAAAACTGGGTCAATAGGTTAAATTAAAGAGAATCATGTATGAGACCTTAGTCTAACTAAAGGCCTCAACAGACGGTAGGATTTTGAAGTACAACACCAATTAAAACTAAGATGTGAAAGCTACTATTTCTTGAATTCCGAAACCTTTAAGTCTAGATGTACGGCATAGGACATGTTCTATTTTGAAAATCTTGTTGTACAGATTTCTACAGACCTCCCACAATGACAAGTAACAGATTACCAAATTATCTCCTGATAATGGGTGTAATGAATGAAATTCCAGAACAATTAGGGCTAAAAGGTGAACATACTGGTAGTAGTAAGATGGGGTAAAAATGATGTTTAAAAACTTTCAGGAGACCCAAAGTTGTGTTATGTTCGAATCCCATATTATTCCGAAAATGATTGTCACGGTATTGAACTGTTCTCTAATAAGGAGAGGGGAGTTAGTTTGTAGGCTGAGGGATATCTTAGTCATTTGATCCGAATTATTTTTTTTTAAATGGAGGTGTTTCAATCATTACTCATGGCGAAAAAAGTATTTAGTGAGTAAAGTATGTATAGGATCAATGTAAAGGGATCCTTTTTAGGGAAACCTCAGATGATCCCTACAGAGTAGAATTACCGTCTGAATGCAAGTGTTGTATTAATTGTACATCTTATCTCTAATTAGTACTGTACAACTAAATCCTACAGTCTGTTGAGGCCTTAAGACTAGCTGCGAGAGTTTTATCTAACGGATTTCTTGGTCAAGTTTAAAATTTGGTTATCTGGAGTAAAGAAAACTATATCAGTGGTGTAGGTTAAAGAAAAATATTTTTAATCTTGTCAAGTCCATACTTTAATGCAAGTCATTATGATATCCAATCACAATGATTGTGTTGAATTAAACATTGGATAAAAGTCACTAATAACCCTACCTTGCTGGAACAGAATGTTACTAGCCTTTGCCACAAAGGTCAGGATCAAATTTAAAACTCAAATATATATTCTCCATTATTTATCCTCCTAGATTAAATATTCAATATTAACTTGATAAAACTGGATTTGAAATAGCATGTTTATGAAATTTAAGAATAAATTTATTGTTATTTTAACAAGATATGGGCATTTTACGGTTGATCCAAATTTTGATCTTGACAACAATTCGATCCGAATATTTTTGTATTTGTACCATTATTTGTTGATTGTATCCCAAAATAGGTTGGTTTCTTTGCAAATAAGCAATTACTTTCAGTTCGTATATGTACCATTTAATTCTAGCATAAAACAATAAGTTTTGCTTTTATAGAACAATGAAAATAAAATCAGGATCATTTGATCCTGATTTTTTCTTTGTGAACACGGGGCCTGACCTCTATGTCAGACTAGGATATACTGTATGCTAACCAACTTAGATTTTCATCGGCATATCTTTAAATGGAAGATGGACATTTCTATGTAAGAAATTCAGCATGACAATTGATATAATAATTATATACCTGCAATGATAGGGATATTACATGTATTACAGCTTTTATTATGCTTTTTAACATTTTAAGTGCAATCATCCAATTGAACTATTTCACCTTAATCTCATCATGAAAAGTTGAGAATGGGGTTTAACATCATTCCTGTACATGTATCTACTATATTGCATTTATTTTTAACTACATGTAAACACCTGAATCCGAGTACATCAAAGTTTACTTCATGCATTAATTTTCACAATCATATTTAAGATCATTTTAATAAAAAAATACATTTTGTTTACCTTTTCTGAGTATGAAACTAGTATTGTTAAACTTTGTTGACAATGTACATAAATGTATTTGCTATATTTATAACTTGGTGAGCAATTTAAAGAGCTGTTATATCAATAAAAGTTACACAGAGCAATAGCATAGATTAGTGTAAACACTAGATGATTCACAACTTTATTGAAAACAAGGTTTTTATGCCCCCACATTGTGGGGGCATATAGCGTTGCACTTGTCCGTCCGTCCGTCAGTCAGTCCGTCCGTACGTCCCGAAATCTTGTGAACGCAACTCCTCTTAAACCGGATGGCAGATTTTGCTTAAACTTACAGGGATGAACAACCTTAATGTGGAGATGGTAGTAAAGGAAGGAATTTTCACTGCGACCAAATTTAACAGAATTATGGCCCTTTGTTGATTTTTTCACTAGATACTATGTAGAAATTTTGTGAACGCAACTCCTCTTAAACCGGAAGGCAGATTTTACTTAAACTTACAGGGATGAACAACCTTAATGTGTAGATGGTATTAAAGGAAGGAATTTTTGCTGCGACCAAATTTTACAGAATTATGGCCCTTTGTTGATTTTTTCACTATATACTATGTAGAAATTTTGTGAACGCAACTCCTCTTAAACCGGATGGCAGATTTTGCTTAAACTTACCGGTATGAACAACCTTAATGTGTAGATGGTAGTAAAGGAAGGAATTTTTCGCTGCGACCAAATTTTACAGAATTATGGCCCTTTGTTGATTTTTTCACTATATACTATGTAGAAATTTTGTGAATGCAACTCCTCTTAAACCGGATGGCAGATTTTGCTTAAACTTACAGGGATGAACAACCTTAATGTTTAGATGGCAGTTAAGGAAGGAATTTTTGCTGCAACCAAATTTAACAGAATTATGGCCCTTTATTGATTTTTTCATTATATACTATGTAGAAATTTTGTGAACGCAACTCCTCTTAAACCGGATGGCAGATTTTGCTTAAACTTACAGGGATTAACAACCTTAATGTGTAGATGGTAGTAAAGGAAGGAATTTTTGCTGCGACCAAATTTAACAGAATTATTGCCCTTTGTTGATTTTTGTTTTTTTCACTATATACTATGTAGAAATTTTGTGAACGCAACTCCTCTTAAACCGGATGGCAGATTTTGCTTAAACTTCTAGGGATTAACTACGTTAATGTGTAGATGGTAGTAAAGAAAGGAATTTTTGCTGCGACCAAATTTAACAGAATAATGGCCCTTTGTTGATTTTTAGTTTTTAACTTGCGGCACATGTAGTCCAAAAAATATTTTACCTAGAGTCATAAGATTGACAGAACAGTGGCGTGTGGGGGCATCCGTGTCCTATGGACACATTTCTAGTTTAGTGTACATGTAAATGCTGGGTTTAGGTTTGTCGGTTTGGCTCAGGTTGGGTGTTATCTGTGAGTCTAATTGGAGCAAAATCCATTGCTTAGAATTTTGAGCAGTCATTTTAAGGTTTATGGGGTTTCAGTATCAAAATACAAGAATTGTGCTATGTGTACCAACATTAAAAGAGCCAATAATATAATATTTGAAAAACAAATGATTTAACCCAAACATTGACACATGTTTTGACACATGTTCTTTTGTTGAGAAATAATTTGGTGAAATCAAGAATCTGATCATTCTAATTAGACAGTTATTGGTCATCTATGCATCTCTGTCAGTTCCCGTAGACCAAGGCTAGTAAATTTGTAATATTTCATTCAATGTTGATTGTTTTATGAAAATACATGTACAAATTCAATGGCGTTGTACGTACGACAATAAAACTAAGTTTTAATATCTTTAAATATTTACATGATAAATATAATCTAGTAAGTTAATAAAACATATCACTATATGTGTACCAAATATATAAGTGACTTAATGTTTCTCAGCCAAATATTCAACTCCCAACTTAAAAATATCCTTTCAAAATTGAAATCTGTGTCTATAAAAGATGGTTATAAACTATAAAGTGACTTTGTGTTTTGTATCGTTGTGTTTAAGTGTATAATGTTATGAAATTCATTATTTCAGCCATGCACTAAATTTGGATATAATAATATATGTATTACTGTTCTGTAAACATAATGATGCTACATTAAGTCACGAATCTCCCACCACATATGATGTTGTCAATAATTTGTATTTAATACTTCAATAAATGTTCATATAAAAAAAGTGTGTTATTTCTTAATTGCCTCATTTTAACACAAAGTGCTCAAAGCAACATAAGTTGTCTCATGTCATCAACTCTTGTCTTATTTTTTGTGCAGCTACATCAGTAGTCTTTCTTGAACATTTTCCCTACAATTTCTTTAAAAAAACAACAACTGATAATGTGTCTGAAGGACATGTATGTTAGGACTCATGACAATATGATTAAAGATGATGTGACAGGACAGCATAGTTGGTATTTAACTTTTTTGCAATAAAAGAGTGACAAATGTTGATAAAAACAGGTTTCTTTTTAAATATTCACAAGGCATTAATTTTAGAGTAACAGAGCAACATTTCTCAGTTAAGTCTGCACTGGAGCATAAAACTGGAAAAAGTGACCATAGGTTTTGTGCAGGACACACACTGTCTTATCATGCCAAGTTATTCCAAAACATAGTTATTGTCCAGGCGAGATTTCCTGACTGCTGACCTTTATGTGTGGCCTTGGAGCAAGGCGTCTCGTTCTAGCCGATTTTGCTACAAATTTTTTGCAAGTTATTTCAAATCCCATGATGCATGACAGAGTTATGGGCCGGACAAGGTTTTCTGAAACACGCACACAAACGAGGAGTAACATTATATGTCCCCAATGCCATTATGGCGGGGGTATAAAAATAACCACATGTTTTTGTTTTGTGACTAATATCGTCAAATACCTCACAGAGTCATTTTCAACCAAAATTCAAGCTTTTACATGACCGGCAGTTTTTAAACAGGATAACAGACAAGATATTGAAATGAATTTTTTTTCCTAACATTTAGTAAGATATAATAACATGGGCCTCTTGTGGATGAGGGGTTTAATTGCCACACATGCAATATCGTAAGAGATTACTAATTGGAGTCTATGCATATCTTAGCTCCAGCAGGTGAGGTGGTTTTGACCTGAAGTTTGTAACACACAAAGTCGTATTTCCTGTTTCGGGGCTATATGATATATACCATGTTTGTGCGCTGTAAAACCAAATAAAATAAACCTAAAATATTTTTCCACTCGGAATCAACTTGAAAATTGATCTTTTTTGCATTTCAAAGCCTACTTGCAACGCTTTTCATTTTTTGTTCATTTTGCACAATAAAATGCTGATTAAAAGCTGACAGACGCATCGTATTATTTTAATATGTACTGAACAAAACAATTTTTAAGACCCGCTTTTATTTTCTATCACACCGAATATAAACATTTTTCACGTCTCCTAGCACTTGCTTAATTGGTATTCAATCCTTAACACAATCGGTTGAAATAGCAGAAGTCTGTTCATAGGAAATGAAAAATGCAACATCTCCGACTTCAGAAGAATTCAATCCTCAATCCAAAACGCATTGACATCATGGATCTAAAAGGGCCTAAAAGTTTTAGCAACACAACATCAAAGTACCATACCAACGTCCAAATTTATACATTTTAAATTGCCAATATTTCGAAAGCAAGGTGGATGGCGCTTTTATTAAATTTACAGAACGGTTGAGAATCCAAACCTCGGTAACTTTATGCGTACTTGTTACGTATTCATTTTATTCGCAGGTAATTCAGCAAAATCTGTACCTGTGGGTATCGACAATGAAAAAGTCGGGGGAACTTTGGTAGTTAACTGCAGCATCCCACAGAAATAAAAGGGTAGTTATTCTTCACCTGAATAAAAGATCTCCAAAGTACTTCTTTAAGTTTATTTATCTGTTTTACAGAAATGTAATATATCAAATTATATTATTATAATAATCACCAGTTGTTCTGTCAATGGACCAGCCATGCCTTACACCAGAAAAAATAAAATATGATGAATTGTTTCAAAAATTCGATGGAATAATTAAAAAGTTGGAATAATTTTGCAAAGTCTAGCAGTAAGATATAAGCTATTCCCTATAATTCGATTAGCCCGCCATTACCATTTTGTCCAGAAAGATATGGTGTCTCGTCTCAGATTTTGACATTGCGCTGAAAAGTTATGATAAGTGTACATCTTAACTAAGAACAAGAGCCACCACCTGACAGGGGCAACGCTCGACTTTTTACTTTCTCTATAAGCAAACAAAGAAAATTAATGTAACTGAACAAAATCTTAACGTTTCCTTTTTATAAATTTAATCACATGTCTTGTGATCTTGTCACATTAGTTTTGTCTATATATTTTGTATATAAAAATATACTAATTTGTATATATATATATAAATAGAAACACACAATTCTATAAATAGAAAATTCTATAAATAGAAACTCGCAATTCTATAAATAGAAAATTCTATAAATTGATACATGATGTGGTGTCACGTGGTGGTGACATTTGGTGGTGGTAACACGTGGTGGTGGCAACGGTGACACGTGATGGCCACACATGGTGGTGTCAAGTGGTGATGACATGTGGTGTCAAGTGGTGGTGTCATGTGGTAGTGGTGTCATGTGGTGTCACGTGGTTGTAGCGACACGTGGTGGTGACACATGGTGGTGGTGTCACGTGGTGGTGACATGTGGTGTCACGTGGTGGTGACAGGTGGTAGTGGTGGCACGTGGGGGTGACATGTGGTAGTGGTGGCACGTGGGGGTGACATGTGGTGGTGGCGGCGGTAACACATGATGGCCACACAGGGTGGTGGCGACACGTGGTGGTGACATGTGGTGTCAAGTGGTGATGACACATGGTGTCAAGTGGTGGTGTCATGTGGTAGTG